ATATAATTCTGTATTTAATTATGGTAGGGGTGGCTGTTAACTGCCAGTTAAGAACTCCTAGCTATAAAGACAGACAAGCATATGCTGAATTCCAGCATGAAGGAAAGGTATTCATTTGAAATGAGAATCAAAACCAAATTAAGAAAACAGAAAGCAAATTTAAAACACCAAGGATCATGTGTAAGTTTGAAATCCTTACAAATAGTTTAAAAATGAGATAATTTATTAAAGCCCAGGAACTCAGTGTTGTTTTCTTTTTCTTTCTTCTTTTTAAAAAAATAACACATGATTAGGATTTGATGCCAAAGAAATGTTTGCTTTTACACCAATGAATGGAGGTTAAGAGGACTCCCATGAGGACTACTGGCTAAAGGAGAAATAGAAACAGCGATCACGGGGACCACAGCATGTTCCCCCAAACTCTCGTGGACTATTTTGGTCAAGTCTGACAAATTCGTGCAATTGCAGTTGCCTGGTGAAAATCGGGGGTTTGGGGAAGGCCCATTTCCATACAGATTTTCTTTTCAGTATCTGCAGTGCTATAAATGTGTTTTCTTCCCTTATGATTTTCTTAATACTATTTTCTTTTATCTAGCTTGCCTCACTGTAAGGTTACAGCATACGATATGTATAATATATAAAATATGTGTTAGTTGACTATGTTATTGTTTGGGCTCTAGTCAACTGTTGACTCTTAGACTTAAGTTTTGGGGAGTCAAAAGGTATATGGGGATTTTCAACTACACAGGGTGAGGGTCAGTGCCCCAACCTCCAACTTGTTCGAGAGCCAACTGTAACTAAATAAACTTCACTTGGTTTTAAGTCTAAACGGAATATTGATTCCATTATCTTGGACTAGTTATTGCAGAGTTGATAAAATAATTCCCTCTCTGTGTTTGTTGGGACACAGCAAAAAATTAGACTTAAAGGTACTTCAGGAAAGCTGCATTGTGGAAAAAATTTTAAGAGATGCCCATCATGTCTTAAGGTCTTTCATTCATCAATATGATACTTAATCTCCTAAATGCATTGTACTTACCACTGAGATTCTGTTTATGGGCTTATCTCTCACACCACTGTAAATTCCTGGAGGCTAAGAAACATGGCTTACGTATCTGATTCCAAGCTTCTACCATATATTACTTGACGTATAGCAGGAGCTCAGTGAATGTGTGCTCAAGTAACTTACTTCAAAGGACTTAAATAAATCTTCAGTTACTTTTTCCCCAGGGTATTACACAGAACTGAAATTTCCAGATCATTTGCCCATTTTCAGTGTGACCCAGAAATTATGTCAGATTGCTCTTTTTTTGTGAATTACCCTTACAAATCCTTTGCCCATTTTTCTACTGGATTACTTGCTTAAAAATCAATCTATAATCCTTGCTGGTTTATATATATTCCGATCGTTAGTCATGTGTCTATTACCTTGGCCATATTCTGTTTGCTCATATTCTGTCTCTTGTTTTTTAAATCTTATATCTTTTATCATGCACAATTTATTTTTATCTCATTAAAAATTTTTCTTTTAATGTTTGTTTATGTCTGAGAGAGAGAGACAGAGTGAAAGCGGGGGAGGTTTAGAGGGAGACACAGAATCCGAACCAGGCTCCAGGCTCTGAGCTGTCAGCACAGAGCCTGACGAGAGGGGCGAACTCAGACTGTGAGATCATGACCTGAGCCAAAGTCAGACACTTAACTGACTGAGCCACCCAGGCGCCCCCACAATTTATTTTTAAATGTAATCTAAATTATCAATCTTCTTGTAGGTGTGGCCGTCTTATATCTTAAGAGAGACAGGCTTCTATAAACAATGACTTTTCTAAGGGCACATATTTCCCCACAGGCCTCAGATAAACCTAGGTCTCCTGCATTTATCTTCCTTGGGAGGATGTTACAATGGGGCTCTTTAAGTTTCCCTTTTGTTTGAAGCCCCCAAACAGCGTCTGCTGCTCTCTCGCTAAAGGCGGGTGCTAAGCCTAGCAGGTTTGCAAAGACATTGCTTGAAAACAGATTCTTCATCCTTTAGCCCAAGAGCTACCTGGAAGTTTCAAAGTTAGAAGCCGGGAAAGGATTTCTTCAAAGAAAATTATCAGTGTGTGCAGAGTCCCGCTCCCCACTCCCCGGGAGGAAAGGATGTAGAGCTAGAGAGTGACGGCTGTAGAAGCAGGACCGGAAAGGCTCATGGTGTCTCTGCCTTAGAGGCGCACAGTGGTAGACTGGGCATGAATAGAATCTGCAGGCTGAAAGGAACCGGCCGCTGGCAACAGAAGAGAGGCTCAGGTGAGAGGTGTAACTGTCCCACCAATGAGAAGAACACAGGTTGAAGGTCTGTAATGGCTGGAGATCAGGTATTGAATTAGCAGTGGGACTGTCTAAAAGGGACAGTGCCCGGAGGGTTTCTGCCAAGAGTGAGGATCTTCTGCTGGAAGAGACTGGATGGGTACCCGAATGTCAAAGCTTCAACCTCGGGAGGGGGGCCAGACCAAGTGCAAGATGATGGGGGAGAGAGAGGAAGCCACCTTTCCCTTCCCGTTATCAGCCAAAGGCTGGCCCAACATAAGAGAAAGGAGAAGCTTAGAAGCTTAAATATGAATGAAATTTGGAGTTTTTTATTTTTACAGAAGACTGCACATACACATTTTTTTTGTAATTAAAATGAGACTGTTCTTATGACAGAAAGTGATTGGAGGGATTATTAAAAAAATTTTTTTATTTAGAGTTTCAGTTTCACAAGATGAAGAATCCTTCAGGCAGATGGTGATGATGGCTCTATACTAACATGAAAGCATTTGACTACTGAGCAGTACCCTTAGTCATGGCTAAACTGATAAATTTTACATTAGATGTTATTCTCCCACAGTTAAAAAAAAACTCACTAACCAAAGGGAAAAAAGAAACGGAATAAAAAAGGGACACTTAACCTTTATTAGTCATGTATCAGCAATGGAGAGGATAATCACGACTGGCTAAGAATGATCGAGTCTTACCCTGTGTTAAGTGCTGTGCGAGGGCTTAACGTGCAGTCTCATTTAAACCTGATTTCAAACCTGTGAAGCAAATCTTCTATAGAGCCCTTGGCTACAGATAAGGAAACTGAGACTAAGAAGGGTTAAGTTGCCTAAATTGACACAACTTGAAAGGAGCCAGATACTGACTCTCAAGCCAGTCCTCTGAACCATCTGGCAATGGACAGACTGCTGGCACTGACACCCCCCCCCGCCCCCATCAGCCCCTTAGACTCCAAGAGATCATAGAAATCATTAGCAAAATCACTGACATTTCACTGGTTCTCCATGGTTTACACAGCAGTTCCTCGTTTGACACTACTCATTAAAACACTGCAAGGTATTCTATTATCAAGAGAGGAAGTTGAACCCAGAGAAATTAAGTAACTTGACTCAGGTCACACTACCAGTTAGGGTTATGATCCCACAGCTTCTATTTCAGAGTCATGGCTGCCCATCCACACACATTTCCTCATCTGGTCCAGTTGCTCATTTTTCACATGAGAAGGTCTACTACAAGGGACACTCCCAGAGAGGTTAATGGTTTGTCCAAGGTCACAGAGAAAGCTACTATGTTTTGCATACACCATCAGCATTTATCTTTAAAGATGTTTTGCCACGATAACACATATTCTATAAATATATGTGGACAAAGTAAAGATTGGTCCAGAGGCAGAGAGCTCTGTCAGCACAAAATAGAGTGCCTTCTTCTAGAAGCTCTTTTATTTGTGGAGTTGGTGCATTAGAGCCACAACTTCACATAAGCACCCGCTTTTCAGTGCCTGCCCTTCTGCAGACTCCTGGTCCATTAGCTCTAAAATTATGCTGTGATCAATGGAACAAATCCATTTAGACCACACGTCTATCCAAGTAGACTAAGCTAGTGGATTTGGTACCCAAGCAGCAAAATACACAAGGGCTGTATAATTCAGACCTTGAGGAATGAACTACATAAATTCTCATTTGATCCCGACTGCACGTCTATAGGGAATTCTTAAAAACAGTCTCAATAACCCTGAATGAACTTTATAATGGCTGAGCAGAACCGTGCAGGGCAGAATCTTTTCTAGTAAAGTAATTGTCTTCCGAGTTTGATACGAGGCTCATGATGAGTGTGAAAGCCGTTAACTGCAAGACTTGATAATTATCAGCACTAATGTGAGGAGTGGAAATCACCTCTCGGCAGTGTAGTCTGATGCCAAATTACGGTGTTATACCAAGAATCCGTGTTATCCGTTTGTCTTTTGTTGCTGTAACTTCATGGGTGGGACCAGGCGAAGTCGACAGCAGTCACCCCCTCTTTCTGTCCAGCGTAGCCAATTAAAAGCAAAAAGAAGCGGATACCACAGAGGAGAGCTTGGCAGCAGCACAGACTGTGAAGTCCTACCAATGAAATCTTCCAGGTCTAACCGGTGGGAATCTCCCCCCCATTAGACACAGACAAATACTCCGATTGAAGAATAGCAAATTGATTTCTACTGCTAACGACAGCCGACATTTGGTGAGCGCTTCTGTTAATCACGTACAGGATTACACTCCATGCCTATGCTCCACGAACGCAGGGCTGGGTCTCTTGCTCACCGTGATTTCCAGTCTCTGAGTAACATGCCCTGTGCACTCTAGGTTCTCAATAAACATTGTCTGAATGAATAAATAATCTCATTTGGTTTTCACAATCTCTATGAGGCTTGAAACAGTGGTGTAATCACCGCTTAACAGAGGAGAAAACAGGCTCAGAGGGTCATTAGAAGATCACTCTGCCAGCCAAGTGTCAGAGCTTATATTCAAATCTGTCAGAATCTATGGTTCAATAGCAATATCATTTCCCTAGTACAGACCAGACCGCGGGGCGTTTCCGGTACAGAGGCTCGCTATGAACAGCAAGTCTGAAAGAACACATTTCAGGTCAGAATGGATACCACTCTTTTCAGCCACCAACTTTGAGATCTCTTCCATATTCCAAAACAACAAAATGTGAAAGAAATGACTTACCTACAAATCCTTCTTCACCAACCAGTTTCAGTGCAATTTTATCAGCCAACACGGAGGAGTTTCCGTGGGCGATGTTGGCAAAGGGGCCAGCGTGCACAAACACAGGGGTTCCCTACGAAAGTTAAAGAACAAATTAAAACCCCAAAAGACAAAGGGAGGAATGACCCAAGATGGTGAGTTTTGGTATTTAGAGAATCACCGAATCCATTCTGCTTTTATTAATACTGCATATTCGATGTACAGATTCTCTCAAAGAAAACGAAAACACCCTGACTCTCCCAAGGGACCAAATTCTTGGTACGTTCTACCACAGTGTCATCCTACATTTAATGCTGAACTAGGGAGAAAAAGCTGTAGGAATTGATTTTCTACTATAACTTTGTAAAAGCACTCAGCTGCCTCACTGACCATGAAGTAAGCTATTTACCTCCCTTCACAGTATTTGGCATTATATTCTTTAAAAGAATAGAATTAGACCCTGATGGTCTAAGAGGCTTATTTAAATGTATTTTTTTCTTCATGAAGAAATTAGTCACTTCTAGAAAAATCTAAGGAAAGCAAAAAAAAAAAATCAATACAATTAATGAATTGTATGATAGGGCAGGACTAGAACGTAACAGTTAAAATAATTATAGCCCATTTTTATATTCACATAATAAATCTGTTCATCTGATTTCCAAAAATTCTTTTTAAGTCTTTCTCACTGCTTAACTGGTTTATATGTTAAAAATCTGTAACTATTAAGACAGTAAAAGAAAGGAAAATGTTCACTCTTGGTCAAATGCTAGAGCAATTGTTACTAAACAGGCAAAAAAAAAAAAAAAAACCCCAATATAAGGGAATTATCAAAACCTTTAGATTTAAGTTGGTAAAGAAAATTTGTCAACACATTCACTTTAAATGCCATGTCTATCCTTTTCCTTTATCAGTAAGAACAGACTGTAGCCCCATCTAAAGGAATTTATCCACATGCACTAAAATGTTCAGGTCCAGCCGGGGCCACCGGGGTCTGTGTGTCTGAGGCCACGGCTCCACCTGTGAAAATACAGGCTGCCCTTTTAGTGACAGGAGGGAAGACAGGCAGTGATGTGGGGTGGGGGTGGGGGGCTGGGGGGTGGGAGCCATGGAAAGTTCCCATGAACCATGATGGGCTGCTGGTGGAACATATTTCAGAGGAGAAAGCTGAACAAAAGCAGGAAGAAAGGCAGTGAAAGAAAAGTCACCTCTGAGGATGAAAAAGAGGAGGGTTTATCAAAGCCACTCTGTGAGCTCTCTATTTACTTTTCTTCCCAAAATCCTCAGGAGGGACAATGACAGGGTCCCCGTGAGGTCAGACAAACGTCTGTAAAAATAAAGTTGGGGAAAATGAAACCCAAGCATAGGTGCCTATAGATACGTGCGTGTTTAGTGTCCAGATCTGTACAGCTACCTATAATTTCTCATTTCTGTCCAGATAGACCTTTTATTTATTTACTTTTTTCAATGTTTATTCATTTTTGAGAGAGAGAGAGAGAGAGAGAGAGAGAGAGAGAGAGACCAAGTGCGAGTGGAGGAGAGGCAGGGAGAGAGAGAGAGAGGGAGACACAGAATCTGAAGCAGGCTCTGGGCTCTGAGCTGTCAGCTGTCAGCCCAATGAGGGGTTCAAACCCACGAACTGTGAGATCATGACCTGAGCCGAAGTTGGTCGCTTACCAACGGAATCACTTAGGTGCCCCCTCCACCAAAATTTTTTAGTAAATATATAAATAGAAACGTAGCTCTTATAACTGCTGAACCAAATTTTAAATTGTATTCAATTTAAAGTAATTTGGATCAATAATCACATGTCGCCAAAGGCTACCGTATTGGACAGCACGTGGACACATATATGGCTAACCCAGGGTCAAACGTTAAGGCCTTTCCATTTCTCTGTCTTCTTAAAGTCTTCCGCGGGGAAGTTCTTACTCTGACTTTACCTGAGAATCACCTGGGATACCCAGGTCCTACCTCCCTGACGTCTGGTTCACTCGGTCTGGGTGGAGCCTAGGATTTGTATCTTTAAATCTTTCCAGGAGATTCTAATATGAGCCAGGACTGAGAATACGGGTCTCCTGGCAACCAGTAGTAAGTTAACCCTTGATGACCTGCTACGAGACCAACAGTCAAGGCTATTCAAACATGAGCACTAAAGCACAATCTGTATAGTGATCAATGATTTTTACATTAGTGGCTGATTTAGGCTCCTAACGCCACTCCTTAGCCAGGTGCATCGGGAATGGTTAGGACCCACATAGCAGAGTTCATAAACGCAGATATTTAAACTGAATGTTTACTTTAAAAACTATGCCCCTTGTCTGTTAACGTAATGACAAATGATCTAGTCTTAAATGAACAATGGACACAAACATAAGTACAAGAATCCTTTGGGAACAGCCCACCCCACTGACTCATTATTTAAAACAAGAATCTGGGGGCGCCTGGGTGGCTCAGTCGATTGAGCGTCTGACTTCAGCTCAGGTCATGATCTCATGGTTCGTGGGTTCGAGCCCCTCGTTGGGCTCTGTGCTGACAGCTCAGAGCCTGGAGCCTGCTTCTGATTCTGTGTCTCTCTCTCTCTGACCCTCCCCTACTCATGCTCCGTCTGTCTCTCACAAAAGTAAATTAAACATTAAAAATTTTTAAAAAAACAACAACAATAATCTGATTATCCCAAATGATGATGATAACATTATCTTCAGTTTTGGGGGGGAAGTGTTATGAGGAAGCACTATCACATCTTTTTCTAAGTTTTTTTCTCATTCACTCAGTTGTGTATTAAACAAATACGTATTATTAGGAGCAACATAGTAAAAATTAAGAAGTATTCACTTAATTATTCAACAAACATTTGCTGAGCACCTCACACATGCAAGGCACTTTCTAGGACCTACAATCCAGTGGTGAACAAGGTGGAAAGGGTCCTGCTCTCATTCTGGTGGATCAGCAGACAAAAAAGTAGGGAACTCATGGGGGTGATACTCCCAGACATGCAGAGAATGACAAGACAGTGACGGGACACGGTGACGGGGGCTGGGTTGGACACATGATTTCACTCATATGTGGAATTTAAGAAACACAACACATAATATAGGGAATGGGGAAAAAATAAGATAAAAACTGAGGAAGGCAAACCAGAAGAGACTCTTAAATACAGAGAACAAACTGAGGGGTGCCAGAGGCGAGGTGGGAGGGGGGATGGGCTAGGTGGGTGAGGGGCATTAAGGGGGGCACCTGTTGGGACGAGCACCGGGTGTTCTATGTAAGAGATGAATCACTGGCTTCTCCTCCTGAAGCCAAGGCTACGCGGTATGTTAACTAAGTTGAATGTAAACAAAATCTTGGAAAGAAAAAAATAAATAAAGGACATGAGGCCTAAAGTAGAGGAGGGAGCCAGGCATGGGAAATCGGGGTGTCTGCGAGGGGTGTCCGGGCAGGGAGAGAGGGGACGGGGGAAGAGACAGGGATGGCCCAGAGCCTGCAGGGTTTCCGGCCAGAGGGAGGACCAGGGTACAGCACCCAGGGCTCTGGGCAGGAGAGCAGCAGGACCTGATCCCGGTTCCGGGCTCTCTGATGGCTGAGCAGAGAAAGCTCTGGAAGGGCGAGTGGAGGCCGTGAGGCCAGGTGGGCAGCGGGGCACACACCGCCGAGGAAGTCTCCGCAGGGATGGAGACGGCCTCGGGGAGGGAGACAGGCTCCAGATCGGTTCCTAGGACACTGGCTGGAACCAACTACTAGGTTTAAAATCAAAGACCCTATTTTATAACCAAGTTTGATACACAATGGCTCTTGGCAGGTCCACTTACGACTCTGAAATTCTGAGGTCAGCAGATTCTGAACAAGAGTCTGGGGGGCATCACGTGGCTGACGGTGGGGGAAGGCACAGAGGGCGAAGTGAGGGCTCACACCCGCCAACGCGCAGAAGCTGAGCTGGGGACCGACCAGCAAAGGGGACGGAGGTGAGGCCAGAAGGAGGTCCCGGGGCAGAAGTCAGAAGAACCAACTGTTCCAGAAGGAAGAAACAATACCTGTGTCAGACCTCGCAAAGAGGCCACACAGATGGGGACAGAGAAACGAACGCTTGGTGGCACGGAGGGGCTGGTGACCTTGGCGAGAGCAGTCAGGGCAGGTGGAAGCTGAGGTCGGGCTGAAGTGACTGAGAACAGGGGCAGGTCACAAAGCCGAGGAGACCCTGGTCACAGACACTAACGTCCAACCGTGACGGGGGGCAGGGAAAGCGGGGAGTGGCCGGGTGTGGACGCCGGCTCACAGGTCTGCAGCACGGACGGGATTCATGTTAAGATGGCTCAGCTCAGACACGCTTGCACGCTGATGGTGTGACCGGAGAGAGAAGGGGCTCACTCCGGGGGAGGCAGAGACCCCACGCAAAGGTGCTCACGCTCCCCCGCCCCCGGCTTGGCGCCGCGTCCTCCCGGCACACCTTCCAGCTCCGTGTGATTCCACCATCCACCTGCCGTCTTGTGTCTGGATCCCTGCTCTCGGCTGGAGCCCCAGACTGCAGAGCAAATTGCTGCCCAAGGGCTTCTGCACTAACTGTCACCCTTCGCCCGCAAAGCCGTTCCTCACACACAGCTCAGTCTCTTGCTTTGTTCCACCTCTGCTCACCAGACACACACGCCACATCGCTCTCTGCTCCCTCAGCCCCTCTGATTTTTCTCCTTCAGTCTTTGCCAGCAGCTGACACGTATCCGCGCCTTCTCTGCCACCCGTCTCCCTGATGAAGGCACCAGCTCCAAGAAGGCAGGGACTTTGTTGTCCTGAGCAGCCGCTCAAAGGCCTGCCTGTGTCGTGTGTTAAATTAATATTGAGCCTTCATAACAACCCCACTAAATCTGTCCTCAGTACCATCACCATTTCACATGGGTGAGAACAGAGGCTTGCCCAAGGTCACAAGCAGTAAAGGGCAGCGGGCACACTCAGAATGAGCGTTCCGTCTGCTGAATGAATGAATAAATGGGTGGATGTTCTGTTTGTCTTGCCCCTTACTTCTCTTCTGGTTGCCTCCGCCTCCCTCGAGTGACCAGAAAACCAGACTGAAATCGAGATATTTTGATGACAAAATGAAAACAAGAGCAGGGCAAAGCTTATGAAACTGGGGGTACAGCATACCTTCCTGGGGACCATTTCTTGCCATATGCTGCATGTTTTGTTTGGGGGGAAAAAAACCCCCCCCAAACCCCAAACTTAATGGATTATGAAAAGCTAAGTTCAAAAAAGGCAAAAGAGAAAACATCATGTAAACATGGCTACGTAACTTACAGAGGTATTAAATATGGAGTTTTTTAAGTTTCCATTCTGGTCAATTAGTACTGCATTACCTAAGGAAAGAATCTATAAATATACTTTTAACTTTTTTTGGGGGGGGGGGTGACCCAGGATTTCTGCTGATGCTCCGTGTGGGCTCCCATTGGCTGGAAATTCTCACGTTGTGTGGCGATGCACACACAATCCAATGAATGCAAACAGTGTCGACAATTTCTATATAAAGAAAATCACTTGGGGCGCCTGGGCGGCTTAGTCGGTTAAGCGTCCGACTTTCGCTTAGGTCATGATCTCGCGGTTCGTGGGTTCGAGCCCCGCGTCGGGCTCTGTGCTGGCTGCCAGCTCAGAGCCTGGAGCCTGTTTCAGTCTGTGACTCCCTCTCTCTCTGACCCTCCCCTGCTCACGCTGTCTCTCTCTCTCTCCTAGAAATAAATAAAAAACATTAAAAAAAATTAAAAAAAAAAAAAAAGAAAGGAAATCACTTACTTCTAGGGTCTGCATCAGATTTGGTTTTATTGCGTCTTTCATCAGAACCGTCAATGCGCCTGTGACGCCCTAAAGGAGAAAGGGGGAAAGAAAACCTGCTTTAGTTGATTGACAAGAGTTCATCCAGACAAAGGTGAATGTCGTGGCCACTTCTCACCAGGCTGCCTCATAGGTGGGCATTCCCACAGGCTGCTGTCACCTCGGAGCTACCGGTACCTCGGCTCTGGTGGCCGATTCTCTCCCCCATCTGATGCATGTCACCATTCTAAGATGGGAAGTGACGGAGTAGTGGAAGTTCCTGCCTTTTATTTTATTTTTTTTTAGAAAACCCTTCTTTGATGGTGTTTAAGAGGCCTGCCATAGAGCAGATCGCTCGGTCTGCCTACAAGTGTCCTCTGGCAATGACCCACATTATTTTTTCATCATCAGAGATTATAGTCTGCCTGAAGAAATCAGGTAAAGTATGAAACTGAGGCTATTTACTGAGTGGGAATGGAGAAGGATAAAGGGAAACATCCTAAATAAAGCACGCCTTTGTGTAAAAGCCACCGAGAAACACTGGCCTCCCAATGCTTCATCCCGCGGACACAGAAGGCACTCGAAAGCCTGCATTTGAAAGGTTTCTCATTCTCCTCTCTCGTGCTGTCTGTCTGCCCGGAACACAGCTGATGCCACCTGTATGTAACATGTGGCTCCCCCCTCCCAGTCCTACGAAGCTCTGGATGAGGCTTCCACCGCATTCCTGGCAAAGATGGGAGAAGGGAGACACGGGGAAGAAATCTGAGAACTACCGGAAAAAGTGTGCCCAGGAAGGCCACAGAGGAAACTTTAGAAAAACAAAACAACACCCTTCCGCCTCTTCTACAGGCACCGGGCAAGTGCCTTCCAAGCACTTGGCAGTGACTGTGAGGCGACGATATGACTAAATGCATGTGAATGTCACCTCGGAAATACAGACGGCATGAAACAGATCTCAACGCAGCAGGTGGCAGAATCTAGTGGATCTGTATCTCTTCAAAGTACTGAGTCAATTACATCCTCCCTCCACGTCTCTCACCAACAATGCTTCTCTTAGGTGATCCACTTCCAATTCTATAATATCTAACATTTCCAATTTGGAGGAAAACCCAGTGTATTTTCTCCTTTACTCTATAAAATACACATAAGAAATGTCACCTACCTAAACCTATTAAGATGTTTTGCTGTGAAAGCTGAAGGCTGGGAGGGGCTCAAAGAAATTAGTTCTCTTTTCTTTACTCAGAACAGGTAGAGGAGCAGCGGCCTGTGAGCTTGCTGAACGCTGCACTTGCTTAGACTTCCCAGATAAACCTGGCTCAAGAAACTAGAGGACGGAGGGCGGGCTGCGTCCGGGAGCGTTCACCACCTGCTCCTTTTTCTGGGATGCCTCTTCGCTTACTGCTCCTAACACACTGACTGTCATCGAGCCCAAGCAAAGAGAGCGGCTCTGGCTGGGGCTGTCATGGCCACTCTGTTCATCTGCTGAGTCCAGAGGGACAGAGTGTGGACATACTCCTCCAGAAGATGTCAGAAGCAATTGTCATATGAGAAACTTCTAGAAGCCATTTATTCAAATTCTTGTAGCAATAGGTAAAACCCTTTGACCAAAATCAAAGTATATAAAAAGTTACAAATTAGGGGCGCCTGGGTGGCTCACTCGGTTAGGCATCCGACTTCAGCTCAGGTCATGATCTCACAGCTTGGAAGTTCGAGGCCCGTGTTGGGCTCTGTGGTGACAGATTCTGTGTCTCCCTTTCTGTATGCTCCTCCCCTGCTCACGCTCGCTCTCTCTCTCTCTCTCTCTCTCAAAAATAAACATTAAAATTAAAAAAACCAAACACAATACCTTTACAACAACCTGGATGTGGGTTTTCTCATTAAACTTTATACCAAGCATCCTAGGGATTGCTGATAAAAATATATTAATTCACTTGACAAGACCTATGTGATGAGTCAGTCAGGTTCTCAAAACCAGCCAAAAAGTATTCGAGACCCTTTTGGCAAAGGATTCCAGTTACATGCTAAACCTTTGGAATTAATGAAATACTAATTTTTCTTTTTCCTTCTAGAACATGTTTCCAACTCTCAGTGTGCAATTAGCCGCCATCAATGGCATATGACCCGTGTGTGGGAAAGTTAGCTTAAGTGTGCAGTGCTGAACAGCTTTCCAAATCCCTGTGTCATACCTATGCACTTAGAAATACGTCCAAGCACATGCAATAGCTATGTCACCAATGGGGTTCAAGTTCACAGAAAAGGTGGTTATTATGGAGAAGAAGAGAGAAGAGCAGGCCAAGTTAGAGTGAGCACAGCAAGAGACGGTGATGTGCCAGGGCACCACGAAAGCTCAGAAAGAGCATCATGAACTCAAGAGGAAGCCAGATGGGGAAGACTGATTAAGGTAAGCTCCGGTGTCATAATGTGATACCCAAATGGAAGGCACAGGGTTAAAAAGCTAAGGCCAATTTTCACTTTACCTTTCTTTCTTTAAAAAAAAAAAAAAAGAAAAAGAAAAAAGTTTATTTTGAGAGAGAGAGAGAAAATAAGTGGGGGAGAGTCAGAGAAAGAGGGAGACATAGAATCCCAAGCAGACTTCATGCTCAGCACATGGAGCCCGATGTGGGGTTGATCTCATGATGGTGAGATCAACAACTCAACTTAACCGACTGAGCCACCCAGGCGCCCCTGGCTTCCCTTTCATGAAGGGGGAGACACTTACTTCTTATTCTTTTGAAAGGTGATTTGTCCTCCATTTAAAGCAGGCACAGAGCACCCTTTGTAAAACAAAGGCACAGAGCTAATAGGAGGTCGCCCCCCTCCACCCCCCACCTCCCCCAGCCTGGGAGCAGAGATCAGGACAGGCAACACGGTGAAAAGTTTATGACATAAATTTCGCATGCTTTGGCTGCAGCGAGGTACGTGCACATTACAGATGCCGAAAGACAGGCTTGTGAAGGAAAAGCGGGTGTGCCGAAATCATCTGAATGTCCCTGACACACGCTGGTAAGAGGAAAACCCTCATTGCTCTGAAATCTACCACGGGGCCACGGAGAGCTTTCCTGAGCCCCTGAGATGGACGTACTCACCAAATCCTCTGCGGTCACGGGCTGCCCATTTTGGTCACTGGCCACCACCATTCTTCCCAGCCGCTCCTTCATGTCTGTGAGGCTGTCGGTCAAGGCCAGCACTGCCATGATCTCGCTGGCCACTGCGATGTCAAACTGCGCCTGCAAAGTAGAAGCAGAAGTACGACTCCGTGACCAGTCCCCATTGGCCACTTCCCCAATATACACTATGCTGTTTTCACCCGCCACACGTTTCTATGGTACAGAACGATGTACCAGAGACACGTAATGGCCCCGAATGCTGGATGTTTAGATTGTTCCAAACTTTCACCATTAGATGTAGTGCTGCAATTAGTATCTTTCTGTAGTTTTGGGAGGGGGGAGGGGGCATGAACAAAAATCCCTCCTTCTTTATTTTTTCTACATCTTTAGTCTTGAAGCTGGAATTCTTGGCTCATTTCAAACTTTAACGCTAACAAACTATCATCTAAGAGGCTTTACCAGTTTAAACCTATTTCTTTGCACCCTCAGTAAGGTTTAATAGTGATTTCCTATTTTTTCTTTTTCTTTTTTTTTGGGGGTGTAAGATCATGGGTAAGTAGTACTTCATTGTTTTAAGTTGCAGTTTTAGGATCGCTTGTTGGCACTTTATTTCTGTGAACACAGTTCACGTCTACAGTGACTGCCAACAGGTCTGACTTGTCCCGGAAGCTTATTAGTATTTTCCATTCAGCGTGCTCAACTGTGGCTGATGCTCTTTTTCTCCTTTGTGAGGCTCCTAGGCTGAAAACGCCTTTTCTGGCTGGCAGAAGTCAGAAGCGATTTCCCAGTGTCACCTTGCATTGGATGCTGTCAATGACAAATCTGAGGCCACCTGGGTGTTGCTCATGTGTGGCCGATTAGGACTTTTTTCTCTGCTTCAGCTCCTTTAGAATTTTGTTTTACTCTGAAATGTCAACACGACGTGTGTCTGTGTGAGTAGTTCACTCACCCTGTGTGGCAGCTGTTAGGGTCTTTCATGTGAAAATCCACGTATCCGTCAAGTCGGTACATTTCTTTTCTATTATTTCCTTAAATCCTTTCTTCTCGCCTTTCTTTGTGGCCCTCACCTGGGACACTTACGAGACAGATGCATGCTAGAACTTCTTGATGTGTGTCCCACATCTGCCTTTTCCTTTATGCTTGCTATGGGGTAGTTTTCCCTGTGGTATTATATTTAGACAGAAATCTCTGGATCACACCGTCCTCTCTACTTCACTTAGGCTTATCCTCTTATCTGGTCTACTTCTCTAATTCACTTAGGCTTATTCTCATATCCAATCCACTAACTCAATTTTTATTTTCACATCATTGTTTTACTTCCAAGGTTTTCACCTATTCTTTCCACGACAGCCCAGTTCTCACACCCCCGTAGGATGGCTCTCTCAGTCCTCTGGGAATACTGATGGTATTCTTTGTAAAGACGCCTCTTTCCAGATCTTCCATCTTGGTTTCCTTGGACACTGTGAGCCTCCTTTTGCTGGCTTTGGGGTCACATTCCATGATGTAGATTTACTTTTGATGCTGGTGATACCTGGCTTTGATACTCATTTCTGCTTGTCACCGGACCTGATTTCTGAGGATGCCAGCCTACCTCCAGAGATCCGAGAAGGCAGGACCCAAGATTCACTGCTGTTTCATTTCCAGACCTGTGCTCACTCACAGAGCCCCAGCTAGCCTTTTGGGCGAACCTCCATGCAGATGACAAAAGGCTGCCCTTCACTTAAAGTGCCACCATATACCGCTTTTTAAAAAAAATTTTTTCTAATGTTTATTTATTTTTGAGAGAGAGAGACAACACGAGTGGGGGAGGGGCAGAGAAAGAGGGGGAGACACAGAATCTGAAGCAGGCTCCAGGCTCTGAGCTTCTGAGAGGTCAGCACAGAGCCTGATGTGGGGCTTGAACTCACGAACCATGAGATCATGACTTGAGCTGAAGTTGGACACTTAACCGACTGAGCCACCCAGGCACCCCATACCATTTTTCTTTGAGCAAGATGCATTTGACCGCCAGCAGGAGGCAGAGTGCACATGCAGATCTGCGCCTACGGTGTAAGGGGTATGGTGGGCAGGGCGGTGCACCGCGGTCACTGGCCGCAGGACCATGCCCAGGCTCCCACCCTGAGCACGGGTGTCATGGGAGGGTGCCTGGCGGCGGAAGCTGTGGCCAGCCATGGACGTTGAGGCTGTGTGAGTGGCTGTAAACTACCTCTGAAGTAGGATACCTGCTGTCTGTGAATGTAGAGACCCCCCCGCCAGAACACCCCCATTGTGTTTTGGGCTATGTTTTCCTCCACGAATCCAGCTCCATCTTCCCATCTTTCAGAAGCTTCCTGAAATTATATGGAGCTGATTCTGGTTTTCTGGCATGTGGGAAATCGGTTCATGTGTGTGAATTCCAGGATGCTGAAGAGCAGGGAGGGAAGGTGCATGGGCTTAGCTTGTCTTTGATTCAAATTCCAAATATTTCAAAAGGTCCAAAAGACTATGAAGTATGAGAACTGAATATTGTAGTAAAAGTGATTATTTTTTTCACTAATAAAAATCTGATAAAGGCCATAAATCTAACACCACCTTAAACTATAAGGTTTATTATTATTAAGAAAAACAAAACAACAAACAAAAAAAAACCCAGGAGTGCCGGGGTGGCTCAGTCAGTTGAGCACCCGACTTTGGCCAGGTTATGATCTCACAGTTCATGGGTTCGAGTCCCGCATTGGGATCTATGCTGACAGCTCAGGGCCTGGAGCCTGTTTCGTATTCTTTGTCTCCCTCTCTCTCTGCCCCTTCCCCACTCATGCTATGTTTCTCTCTGTCTCAATGATAATAAACATTAAGAAAAAATTTAAAGAAAAAAACGAAAAGAGAAGCTTGCTGGGCCTGAAAAATCTCAGAATGATTTTATCATTCTCCACATCGGAGATCTATTAAAATGCAGATGAACATCTTATTTTACCTTCCACATTTTCTGCATTTGGGTAGTAACATGCTGTCCTTAAAATACTTCAGGCTATTAAACCAAATAACGAGGTGTTTATTCTTTGGTTTACAAAACTTGACTAATGTGTTTGAGATTAAAAAAAAAAATTTTTTTTACAACTTATTTATTTTTGAGGGACAGAGAGAAACAGAGCACAAGTGGGGGAAGGGCAGAGAGAGAGGGAGACAGAATCCAAAGCAGGCTCCAGGCTCTGAGCTGTCAGCACAGAGCCCAACGCAGTGCTCGAACTCCTAAACTATGAGATCATGACCTGAGTCAAAGTTAGACACTTAACTGAGCTACCCAGGCACCGCTGAGATTTTTTTTTGTCAGTTGTTATGCAGATGTAGCATTAACTTGGAAGATTTGCAGCAAAATATGTAAAAATTCATATTCAAGGGACACCCCGAGTGGCTCTTCCTCGGATGATAACTAAAAATCACAAGGAAAAGGTTGGTGAGAACATACCAGGGCCTTTCTGTCCTGATCCTCTCCCAGCCCTGCTGAGGAAGCAACACTTCCTCACTTCTCATCACTTGAACTGATGAGAACCCTCCCTGCCTCCCCTCCCCCCAGGGCACCGCAGGTAGAGGACCATGAGGAGCAGAGTGGAGAGCCAGCTCCTGGCCCAGTGTAAACCAACCTAGGAAGAACAGAGCCGATCACGAAGAAACAGCATGTACCTGCCGGGAACACCCCTTCTCTGTGTGCGCCTGCCCGATTGTTATTTTTCGTAGAAATCGGTCGTTTGTATCCAATACTGAAAAAGAGAAAGAGCATATTCAATCTACAAGTATGGACTGGCTGCCCCCTGGGTGTCTGAAGTTACTGTGAGTGCCAAGGAGGCAGCGGGGAGCAAGGGACGGGGTCCCACTCCCCTGCAGCCGACCTGCCAGGAGGGATCAGGTAAACAAGGAAATACCAGCAGGTGCTAAGTGCCTTCAGAAGCAAACGGAGGTGATGGGACAGAGTGTGGGGGGGGGGGGGGAGGGGCCTCAGAGTCGACTGGCTGTGGTGGTTTGGAGGACCTGCAAAGAGAGGAAGGAGAAACAGCTATCAGTGGCTGCAGGCTATGGCCCCAGATGCTCTGCAAACCTATGGGGGGGGGGGGGGGGGGGGGGGGGGGGGGGGGGGGGTGGTGCACGTTTCTGACTAGGCAGTAAAGGGAAAGCATTTCTGAAGTGGTCACACTTGACACTGAAGCCTGAGTCACAAGAAGCAGCCAATCAAGTATCTGAAAGAGTTAAACACTGACCCCACCAACACAGCCCAGCAAGTGCACTCCTAGGTGTACATGCAAAGGACAGGGAGCTGGGACCTGAGCACATATTTGCACGCTCACACTCGCTGCAGCACATAAGATGTGTGAAGATTAAACACCAACACACAAGACAGAGACCAGAAAGGAGCCCTAAGTTAGGATACAGAATTCCTGGCCTCTAGATGATAGAGCTAAAGGTGGAATGAGGAACGCATTTATTCACTCCTGGAATATTTACTCAGGGCCAATTTTGTGCCAGGTGCCAGGCTAGCTGTTTAGCGATGCACAGATGAAAAAGATATCGCTCTCTGATCGGGGGGGATCGGGGACTTTTATGGGCCCAGGGGAGAAGAGGAGGGTCCGAGTGAGTGTGGGTCTAAAGGGTCCCTTTCGCACGACCATGCCTACGGCCTACTGCAGAGCCAATAGCGGCTCACGTTCTGGGCGGTACGAGGCACTCCATCAGGCGCGGGGCCACTATTCAACTGTCCTGATTCAAGGTTGTTGGGACAGTGTCGGGAACCAGCAACCTGATATTGCTTCACTGAGGATGACTAAGGCATGCGGCACCTCAGCCTGATGGCTAGGAGCTAGGGGACTGGAGGGGACAGGGGAGAAGGGAAGATCGCAGGCCCCGGGTGGGGTTGGGGGGGTGTGATGCTCAAAGAGGCGGGGCTCCCGCTGCTTTAGGAACTACAAGATGGCTGGATGCCTATTGCTTCTTGTTTATGTTAATTGTTTCTCGAACAGTCTGTTGGCTCTGGTCCCATCTTGCTGCCAGGCAATAGGCCTGAAAGCTTCTGGTGTGAGGCACAGGATGAAAGAACTACCACTTGCATTCCTTACACCAAGCGCAAAGGCAAGGGCTGACCACGAAATCTGTGACTTCCATGTAGTCTCATGTAGTCTGAGAAGTGTTCAGTCCATGTGGTTCCGGAGTGTCCCTCTCTAGTTCTGAAATCATAGGAGGACCTAAGCTCATCACCAGGGTTATGCTATTTCTAGGTCAAGTCTCATATCGCCTTAAAAAAAAAAAAAAAGACCCTATATTAAGTGTCCTCAATTCATTTGATAAAGCGTTCCAGTTTTTATATTAATTCATGAGAATAAGAGCCAAACTGCTCAGCAAATGTCATTTTAGACTCCTTTGACCCAGGTCAATCAATATCTATCATCAAGAACATTCCTCACTTTAGTGCCACAAATGATAATATAAATCTAGTATTTGTCTGGAATAATTTTTTTAAAGCTCTTCCATTATTTAAAAAAAAGTTATCAGACTTTCCAATAAAATGCCAATAATATTCATATCCATTTTTAAACTGCTGTTTGTCTGTTAAATAATAAATTATGGTTCATTTGCAAAGGAATATTCGAGGTCCATTTAAAATTACCGATACAGGGGCGCCTGGGTAGCTCAGTTGGTTAAGCGTCCAACTTCAGCTCAGGTCATGATCTCGAGGTTCGTGGGTTTGAGCCCCACGTTGGGCTCTGTGCTGACAGCTCAGAGCCTGAAGCTGGTTTCAGATTCTGTATTTCCCTCTCTCTCTGACCCTCCCCCACTCACGCTGTCTCTCTCTCTCTCAGAAATAAATAAAACATTAAAAAATTAAAAAAAAAACAAAATTAACAATACAACAAAGAGCTAACTAAATGGAAGATGCTACTTATGAAATAAACGAAGCTGGCGGGAGGGGGCACCACGGTGGCTCCGGTGGTCAAGTGTCTGACTTTTGGTTTCAGCTCAGGTCATGATCTCATGATTCATGAGCTCGAGACCCAAGTGGAGTTCAATACGGACAGCACGGACCCTGCTTGGGATTCTCTTTCTCCCTCTCTCACTGCCGCTCTACCCCATCCCCACCGTACGCACACGTGCACATTCCTTTTCTCGAAATAAATAACCTTCAAAGTAAATAAATGAAGACAGTAGGATCTAAAATCTATACACCTAAGTTAGTTATACACAAAATCCAGATGCACAAAAAAACTGAATCGTATTTTTATACGTATAGTAACAAGTTTCTTTTTCTTTCTCGACACCTCCAAAATCTTGATACCGTTACTACTTTTATTAATAAATTTTTGTGAGTTTCCAAAATGATGTTACTCTCTTTTAATCTGGGAGACAAAGACACAGAAAACTACCTCATACAACTATTCCCACAGTAGCATCTCTTGATTATTGTAGGGTTTGCAAAGCACTCTCATTTTGCAGTGGGGCCGTGCAAGGCAGACCGGTTAATTATTACTCCGTTTTACAGAGGAGAAAACCGAGGAAGCCATTTGCTAGTAGTCACACAGCCTATAAACGGTGGAGCCAGGACTCGGTTTCTGGTCTTTTTCTCTCTACCTCATGGTCTGTGGGAAAACACTAAATTCTTAATGAACTGGCTGAACAGATTCCCAGAAGGGAAGCTTTGTGAAGGGGGGGGACCTGGGCTGTGTTTGGGAGGCGGGGCGAGGCCGGCCGCACAGGGACGGGCAGAGGGACGGGGCTGTCCGGAAAGCAGGCAGGGGACAGAAGCATCTGCGGCCACATGGTGACGGCACTGCAGGCCACGCCGTGTGACGGCAACTGAACCCCACGCACGAATTCATCACACACCATGGGGGCTTCTGAGCAAGGAAGGGACAGGGTGACGCCTCTACACTAGGAACCTACTGAACTGGGAGAGATAAGTTGATGCAAGGACATTTGTTAAAAGGCGCTTGTAATCAATCAGGCACCTGATGAAAACGTTCCAGAAGCGGGAGGAAACCAGGAAAGTGAGCGGGCAGGTCTGAGAAGAACATACAGAAGGCTCAGGAACGGGACCAGCTGACCCTTCCGAGACGCCCTGGGGATCCTCACCTGCTACTATCGCAGAGGATAACAAAAGTAATTCTCCTCGGAAAAGTGTTAGCGGGAGCGGATGGGTAGAGCCAGGTGTGACTTTTCCTCCCCAGCTGGAGGTGAGGGTGAGGGTGGGAAAATAACCGTGCTTGAAACAAACAGAGGGATTCCGGAACACGAGCTGGGAGGATGGGGGTGGGGGGTGGACACCACGTGCTTGTGGAAGTGGCTGAAGAGCTTCAGTGGGAGCAAACGGTCCCCCCCGCAACCCCACGCCCGGCACGAACCTCTATGCCACGTGATGGTGGAGGGGTCGATGTTGAGACGGGCGAATTTACTGATCTCCTCTTCTGTTAGCGTGCTTGGATCAGTCTTATTTATTCCCAGTCTCTAATGATGAAAAGGAAAAAAACATGATCAATTTTAGACGGAACAGAAGGCAAAATGTAGGGGCACCTGAGTGGCTCAACCTATTAAGCATCAAACTCTAGATTTCAGCCCAGGCCATGATCTCACGGTTCACGAGATCAAGCCCCATGTCAGGCTCTGCACTAGCACTGTGTGGAGCCTACTTAGGAATCTCTCTCTCTCCCCCCCTCTCCTTGCCCCTCCCCAGCTCTCTCTCTAAGTAAATACTTAAAAAACAAAAAATGGCAAAATGTAACCAATATTATCACTCTTATTTTATTTTCTCTACGACTAGAAAGTTTTTTTATAATTACACTAAACTTATAAGTTAGGCCAACTCATAACTAAACACCCAAGCCCAAGTCTCCCTGAAATGGAAGACAGTGATATTGTAATTAATATGACATGACTATACGGCGTGGTTGCTAACACACAAGGAACACTGCTTGCTGCTGTCTAGGCCAGAGGCCCCCGGAGCTGTGCTACGTGGTCACATGTGCTGTGCTCAGAAGGGACATAAACGGCTGTCCACATAATTGATGTCCCCATTCATTAACTCTTCTTTCAAATACAAATACCAATAACTCAGGTTTATGGCTACATTTTTAAAATAAGTTATATCTAATTCACTGTGGGAAAAAAAGCCGTTATAACTTGCAGTGCATCTATTTCTGTAAAGGAAACATTCTAAGAAGGTTTACAATGAAGTATAAGAAAACAATCTGAAAATACAAATACCAAGAGAAACGTTACATGTGTTGGAGCTGCTGAGGTTACTATGGTATACGGTATTCACAACAAACCAAACTTGGTTCAGTAAGGAGCAATGGGGGTGAATTCTTAAAATCAGTGATTATCAACCAGTGCCTGTGATGTATACCATTCCAGTTAGCTTTCAGTCTCTGAAAAGAGCAAGCGAGAACCTGTGGGATTCCCAGGACAGCAGCAAATAGCACTAGGAAGTGATAATATGAATAAGAATAAAGATTGCTTCCACTAGCATAATCTTAGCATCTTGGGGCAACAAAAACAGATTATTTATAAATACACTTTCAGAGGCTAGAACTTATCTCCTAGAAATCCAAGAAAATAAGAGAAGGACTCTTGGAAATATGATCTGTCGGTTGACGAGGGTGCTCTAAACCTCCAAAGCAGGTTGGTTGATAGCTGAAGGAGCGGAGACCTTGAAAGTGGATCTAATCTGTCCACTTGCTCTTTGGTGTAGCTGTATCTCAGGCTTCTTGTTCTGTTCTCTCTCTAGAGCTTAATGCCCCAAAGACTGTCTGAAAACCCAAATCAAATCAAGTTCAAAATTGCTGGCTTGAACAATTTTTCTGATTTATTTCTAGGACGTTTTCTTGTTAAAGAGTCACTAACTAGAAACTTACTTTCAGCCGAGCAAGCTGAATGCTTGAAAACTCTCGAACACCATTCATGAAAGGTACGAGTCGATTATACAGTGCCTAAAAACAGAAAACAAAAATAAAGCCCCACAAAAGTTTGAGGGTCAACGTGGATAATTCACAGGATATGACAAAGCTCATTACATTTGTAACCAAACTGTTTAGATTAGAGACCCTATTAAAATTCTTGGCCAATATAAACAATACAGCCTTAACTTCTATCATTTCAATAAATCTGACTAGATCTGAAATAATGCACGTGGCAAAAACACTGCATAAATATCTATTTCTTGATCTCTACAGCCTTACAACCATCAAGTTAATATTTACCTATATTTGGCTTAAAACATTCACAAGGGAGTTACTTTAAATGGAGAAAGTCAGGATCCTTGTAAACATGCCAGGAAGTCACACATTTATCCACGTCCGGCACCCATGGGGAATCAGCACCTAGTCCTCTGTCACCGTCGGGTATGTGTTTACCTCAGCGACACACACCTGAGCCCCAACAAGGAGGTCTAATGTCTTTCACACCTGGAATGGCCGTGTGTAACATTATACTCTTAAAAAAGATATGTTTCCAATCCACTTAGTGCGGACCGGAGATTGGACCTTTGGACAGAATGAAGGGAACTGATCTACCAGTTAACCTGAAAACTGAAGTCCTATCCCGAAGAACATGTGCCTTAAAATTACCACTAACATAATTCACCCAGCAACCTGGCAGTGGCCACAGCCTCATTTGAGAATCTGACCAAAGCAGGGATCCTCTCCCTGAGAAATAAGGATATGGAGAATTTACAAAATTTTTACTACAATTTCAGTTTACAGACTCCACAAATGTGTCCCAGGAACTCCTCAAGAATCTACAAATCCCAGGAGAAGAGGCCCCAAAAAGGCTAACAAGAAAACGTTCTCACTTTATCCGTTTGAGTGTTTTCATGCAAAATCCTTGTGTCAATAGCAGCGGCCAGCAGGTTATTGGCAGCGGTGATGGCGTGGATGTCTCCGGTCAAGTGCAGGTTGAACTATAAAAGCAATGAAAACATCTTTCTACTTGTCTCAGACAACGAGGGCAGTTTTCAAGGACTTTCTGAATAAATAAAATATTATACTAATTACACACTCCTATCATGAGCTTAGTCTGTAAAACAACTTATATCAAAAAATCAATGTCAGGGGCACCTGGGTGGCTGGGTCGGTTGAGTGTCCGACTTCGGCTCAGGTCATGAACTCAGTTTGTGAGCTCGAGCCCCCGGATCAGGCTCCCGGCCGTCAGCATGCAGCCTGCTTCTAATCCTCATTCCCTTCTCTCTCTGCTCCTCCCCCACTCACACTTTTCCTCTCTCTCTCTCTCTCTCTCTAAAAAATAAATTTAAAAAAATGTAATAAAAAAGGATTCTCTCCCTCTCTCTCTGCCCCTCCTTCACTTATGCTTACTCTCTCTCTCTCAGAAATATACACATTTAAAAAGGAAAGAATACATGCAAATAGGGTCTTTTTAAAAATTAGTTGCTGATAAGCCATATATTCCCAGCAGTGCGGTTGCTGGATTAAAGGACCTTGATAACACCACCAAATTGCTTTTTGAAAAAGTTGAAATTCCACCCCCAAAACACCACCCAATCAGTTAAAAATCTCCTTTTATGACTTGCCCCTCCCCTGCTCACGCTCTGTCTCTGTCCCTCTCTCAAAAATAAACATTAAAAAATTTTTAAAAAATATAGTTGATGTGATACCCTCCTGTTAGACATTTAAGATTTTCGCCCAATTTTTTAAATGCTACAAGCTGTGTGAAAATAGTTTTAAAATAGCTTTGGATTTATTTTGTCCAAAAGGTATGATACTTTTTTTTTTAAATGTTTATTATTTAGAGAAAGAGAGCACAAGCGAGGGAGGGGCAGAGAGGGAGACAGAATCAAACTTGGGGCTCTAACGCACAAACTGTGAGGTCATAACCTGGGCTAAAGTCAGAAACTTAACCGACTGAGCCACCCAGGCGCCCTAGAAGGCACTCGATACATATTTTTACCTCCCCTCCAGGAAAGTTTTACCAATATCTGCTTCCCAGTAATGTGTAAAAGTCTATTTCAATGTCTCACTACTAAAATTTAGTATTATTACTATTTAAAAAAAACCAACTCTGTCAATTTGGCAAATAACATAATTGGTAACAGTTTTAATGTAGATTAACTTATTAGTGAAAATAAAGTCACTGGTTAACAGCTCTTTTGTCATGTCTGTATTGGATCCTTTTCCCATGTCACAGCTGGCTCATGTCTCTCCTTCCTGAAGCCCGTTTGGTACCCACTGGGGTCTCCCCAGGTCCAGAAAGGCCTCTCTTCTTTTCCTGACCACCCCTCCCTTCACCACTACAGTTGCAGCCTTAGGGCCACTGCTGCCCCCATCATCCGCTTCAATCAATGACTCCGTGGAGTTGCTCCGCCCACTCTAGCAGTTGCTCCGCCCACTCTACCGGATGTCCTCCCCTGGGCTCCGCCCCCCACATCTAATCCTGCACACTCAGCAAACATGTCTTACATCACCACCACCTCCCTGGCCCACACCACCATCTTCCCCCTGGGCCTGCTTACTGGACACCGACCATCCACTCTGTACTCCTACCAGCGTATTCTCTGCACAGAGGCCAGAGCCATTTTCATAAAACCCGATTTACATCATGGTATGACTTTGTCAAAAGCCCCTCAATGGCGGACCACGATATTCAAACAACATCCAGGCTCTGTGCCATGACATTCAAAGCCTGAAAGAGCTGGCCTGTGCCCATTTCTGGATTTCATTTCCTCCATCCCCACTGACCCCCTGACAACACGCTGGTGGCCTCTGGTTCCCGGAAGACCCCTTCCTGCCTCGGTGCTGCCCGCCCTCCCCCCCCCCATTCTGCATAACCATGACTCCTTCTCACCCTTCAAGACTCTGTATTTTCACTTTCCATCCTTCAACCCATCTGGAATGCGTTCAAATATTTCCCCATGATTATTTATTAAGTTTCTGTCAGTACGAGTTGTCTATTCATGCACTCAGTCAACAAACATGGTCTGAGTGTCGGGCATTGTGCTCCGAGCTGGAGACAGAGAGATGAAGGAGATACAGAAGGTCTTCGAATTTAAGGAACAGACTGCCTGATTGTCTTTGGGCTACTTACCCATCATGAGGCAGTTAAAACTATCATACGCCCTGCGTCTGCCCCACGTCTGAGCCGTGCAGCTGATGCCATATGACAGCAGGACACTGATGCCCTTTGTGTATTTGCGCAGAAATTCCTGAGCCATTCCCCTGGGCATGTTCCTTGACCCCCACCCCCAACCTGGCCTCCTGGCTCCCGTTCTTCCCGGCTTGTGAATATTCCTCATCCCCCTTCAGATGTGAGGCTTGGGGCTATTTGTTCAGCAGTGCCTTTCACCATTCCCTCTCAGCCCACCCCCAGTACTTGGAACACTGTCCATATTTTCCCTTTCGCTTTCCTGACCCTCTGGCCTCCACAGGCAAACACCCTTCCTAATTCATTCATCGAGATCAACAAACATTTCCTAGTGAGCACCTCCTGTGTGCGGTGCATTGTGCTGAGTGCTGGGGGGGCTCTGGCCTCTAAATCAGCACAGCCGACTGAAGACCGAAGTGGAGGAGAGAGACAGCACGAAGGGATCTGAGGGGCTGAAGAGAACCTAGAGACGGACAGGTGGCGCAGGGAGGGCAGACATGGAAAGCAAGAAGGCTGGAGGCTTACAATCAAGAGTATGCGGGGGGGAGGGGGGGGTGCGTCTGATGGGACGGGTGAGAGGGAGGCCAGCCCGTGGGAACAAGAGACGGCGAGCACACGAGGGCCCGCCACACCACAGTGCACAGAGAGATGGAGCCAGAAGTGAAATACACCGAACGGGAAAGCAACCGGCTCAGACTTGGGTTTTAGGAAGATTCCTCAGGACCAGAGCTAAGAGGCCGATGTGGACAGTAGAAGTGAGGAGACTCAGTCACGGTCAGATTCAGGGGACAGAGGGGTTGTAAGTTGGGGGTAGGAGTTCTTGGAGAAATAAGAATGGTCACTTTTGGCCTCTTGTGCCCATTTTTGTTTGGAATTACTTGATTTTAGAGTCGCCCTTTGCCCAAGCGTGGAGTCCGAGTCCTCCTGAGTGGGCACTATAACTGCTGCTTGATGGGGATAAGTCCCCACCCTCTTATGCAAAATGGAGCCACGTGGGTTTGGGATTCAGAATTTTTGGTAATTTAGAAAGACGGTACGATATACCTATAATGTTTTAATAAACTACCCAGAGCAGGGTCTACATCCTTATCTGTTAAGCAAAACCAATATTTCTCACAGCAAAATATATGAATATTTCCATCAAGTGGCAGAGACATAAATAGCTCATGAACAGTCAATGTCGGGTTCTGCCAGGATAAATGATGCAAACATTTCGGTCTTCAGAATCTTTAGGCCTCTGGACTGAGGATAAAGGACTGTGGGCCTGTGTTTACGGGGCTCAGGAAGTAAAAACAATGACACATGACATGTGTTTCGCTGAGATCTTACCTCCTCCATGGGGATGACCTGGGCATATCCGCCGCCCGCGGCTCCTCCTGAAAACAGAGCAGACAGAGCAGAAATCCTTCACCAAGTCCAGCTACACAGGATGAATGGAGCCCTAGGGACACGGCCCCCCAATCCCAGCAGGAAGGCATGCACCCCCAAGATGAAACAGCAGGTAGTACAAAAAACATTCACTGTCTATGCAAGCCAAACAAAAGGGGAAAAGTCCCACTTTACCCAACTATACAATTTAAGGACTTGAGTTTCTTGATTAAGAAAAAAAAGGTAAAAACAATTTGGCAAGTGTCATGACCGCAAACACTGTTATTAATCTGTTATTAGATCTATGTGGCTATGTGTCATTTAAATGGCACATGCTGGAAGGTTCCAAAAGCTTTGTTCAAAAAAATCCACCTGCTGAACTCAAACACATTATAAAATGCGGTCAATTGATTTTAGATAATAGTATATAAAATCTGTTAGGCTGCCTATCCCTCAAAATAGTAAAGTTACTACATTAAAAAGACTTCTCTTTCCTAAAACAATGGTAATACCTTCCATATCCAGATCACCTTGTGGCGCACCCTGTTTTTTATATGCTATCTCATCTGGTCCTCATGACAAGTAAACCTGGTATTATAAAACTCTTTGCCATTTCACAGATGTGGCCCAGAGAGGTTACAACTGGCTGAATGTCACAAAGCAGCAAAGGACACAGCCATGAATAAAGCCGCAGCCTTCTTGCTAAATGTTTAGTGTTCATTCAGCTACAGAAAGTAAGACATTCTACGAGTTATCAGTACTTAATGAGTCAGGAGTTATTAACATCTGTGACAGTAACATAAATATAATACTCCTAAAACCCACAAAGTGCCAAGAACAAATCGTCACTGCAGCAGTAAATGCTATTGTAATGCGAGCTGAAGAATGACCTCATGATAAATCAGTGGAGAAAGAAGAGTGAGCATGAAGGTTCCAGATGTCAGCCCAGCACGGCCAGACAGAGAGTGCAGCACATCTCTGTCCATGGCCAGTCACGTTCCAGAGCTCTCTGCAGGCCCCACAGCAGGTCTCACGAGATGAGGCACTGAGGGCCCAACTGAAAGGGTGTCTAACTGGATGGAAAGACCTTTCTCTGTGGCAAGAATGGATGATAAAACAGCAACATGGATAAGAAAGTTTGATCAGATACAAGGCTTCTGCCTAAGGCTGGAGTTCTGAGCAAGGGCCCAGGAACTACTCCTTGAAACCAGGGCAAGGGGCTTCTTGCCAAAGCTTCTCTGCCGAAATCCCCACTGCAGCCCCCACCCCGTAGGAGGACCATCTCGGGGTGAGCACCGCGTACAAAGTGTGCACATGGGGTGCGCGTCGGGGTGAAACGTCAGGATGAGATGTACCAGTCCCTCTTATAAGTGTTAACGCCACATCTGTTGCTAATGTTCTTTCAGAACTTTTCTCCGCCCCCAATTTTGCTCTGCAAGATATACAGTTCTTAAGTCAGGTACCTTTCACGCCAAAAGTTGGTCCTTGAGAAGGCTGCCTGAGACACGCAAAGGAGTTGATGTTTAGGTGTGCAGTCAGCGCCTGTACGAGCCCAACTGTAACTGTACTTTTCCCTTCCCCGAGAGGGGTGGGTGTGATCCTGGTTTGGGGAAAAAAAAAAAGAGAAGGAAAGAATTTAGTAATATTTCCTAGACAACTGATACAAAATCAACCTAAGGTACTAGAACCAAATCAGAGCATATCGGTAGAGAACATACCATTCCAAAATTCACTTAAAAATTCAATTTTCAGGGACTTTTATGGTCTACCCACATCTCACAGGCCATGTTTAAGCTAAAGCCAAGAAATAGACACACCTTTCTTTACCAAGAGACCAAAAAAGAAAAGTTTTTCAGCGGTGATAACATTATCGGCTTCAAGAAATGGCACAGCACTATCCATCAAATGGTCTAAATAATTAAGCTGATGTCATTTCTTCTTTTTTTTTTTTTTTAAAATGTTTTATTTATTTCTAGGAGAGAGAGAGAGAGAGAGCGTGAGCAGGAGAGGGTCAGAGAGAGAAGGAGTCACAGACTGCGAAACAGGCTCCAGGCTCTGAGATGGCAGTCAGCACAGAGCCCGACGCGGGGCTCGAACCCATGAACCGCGAGATCATGACCTAAGCGAAAGTCGGACGCTTAACCGACTAAGCCACCCAGGCGCCCCTGATGTCATTTCTTCTTGACAGTTGATTTGGCACTCGTTCTTCGAGGGCCATGACCGGGTGCACAGTGTGGGCACAAGGCCTACTCCATGGCCCATGGTCAGACTCTGAGGATTGGAAGGCAGCCCATCATACCCCCTCATCCATCTTCTTCCAGATAGCTTGTCCTCGCCATGTTGCAACATAGTGATGGAGGCTCAATACCTCTAGGGTAGCCCATTCATTTCCAGAGAGCTTTTATAGTCAGAGAGCTTTCTGTCCTAAAGAAGAGATGTCTGCGTTCCCAGAACTCCTCGCTCTTGGGAGTCAGACACACTAAGCTTAATCCTTCTCGTACAACAATCCCTCGATCATTGGGAAAGAACTGGCCCAACACCCCCCAGCCCACTAAGGGGCTCACAGCTGCTCTGGAGGGCTGAGTTGACTACAACACCCTATAAAAGCAAATATCACACATCAGTAATAACCATCATAGCATTAAGTAAGAGGACAGGCGTGTATTACATTCCCAAATAAGGACCCATAAAACTGTTCCTTAGCATACTCTAACCATTGTTACAAGATTTAAAAACTGTCATTTTGGCTTGCAATAGGATCTCCCAATAGTTAGATGGTGCAGTCAGAGGATACTCAATCCCAACAAAACTTATAGTAAGAGTTTTCTGACCTATGAAACCCAGTGATGTGACCACAAAGAAATAGAAATAAAGCCCTTAGATACATCGTCGTCCCCAACTGCCTCAGACCACCACGGTGAAACAATCAATCATTCTTTCAGCAAATATTTATTAAGTACTACTATGTGCAAGACAACTAGATCCCAGGGACACATTGATGACTGAGTTGGACTCCATCACTGCCCTCCCAGAGCTTACACCTGATGGCAGATATGGACGGACTGATTGGCAATTACGATGAGAGTGATGAACACATACGAGAGAAACGCGGCAATCAGACCGTGTTACGAGAGCACATTGGCAGGAGGGTCTGATCACACTTGGAGCATCAGGGAAGGCTTCCTACAGGAAGTGACACCAAAACTTAGACCCGGGAAATGAATAGACGTTAGCCAGGTAAGACTGAGGCTGGGTTTGGGGTAGTTAATATAGAAGGTTCTGTGAAGGGCACCTGGGTGGCTCAGTTGGTCGAGCGTCCAACTTCGGCTCAAGTCATGATCTCACAGTTTGTGAGTTCGAGCCCCACATCGGGCTCTGTGCTGACAGCACAGATTCTGTGTCTCCCTCTGCCCCTCCCCCACTCATGTGCCTACGTGCTCTCTTTCTCTTTCTCAGAAAAAAAATAAACACTAAAAAAATTTAAGTATGTGAGGTTCTGTGCTTTTACATTTGTTAGGTTAATGTTTATCCTCATTGGATCGATGAGGAAACTGAGGCACAAGGAGGTTCAGTAACCTGTCCAAGGCCAGTCAGTAAGCAGTAGAGCTGGAAATCAAAACCAGCCACCCGACTTTGCTAGGCCATTTCTATAGGTAGAAACTGTGACTGTGGTTAACCATTAATTAGCAATTTAAAGCATGAGAATAGGAAAGGTCACTCAGTGAGAGTGGACACAGTATAAAGAAGGATAGGACAGAACTGTCTAGAACATGTTCTCTTAAGGAATGGTCAGAAGAAAGCAAAAGGAAATGAAAGGAGTGGTAGGGAGACATCTCGAGGACAAGGCAGGGGTGTGACAGGGACGTCTGTGTAGGGAACCAGGGAAGGGTCCACAGAATCACAGGCCATGGAAACGCCGGACTGTGGGTGAATCAGGCTGAGAAGCCATCACTGCACAGAGCACCAGGGTCGCTGGTAGGGAGCAGGTGCACGCCCCCCTCCCCCCCACGCTTGGTGAAGTACACCTGGACTCCTCAAGCCACACGACACCTGGTCACAGTGAAAGTGTTTCTGCTTTGAGTCACCCTTCTATTCACTTCGTATGCCAAGAATAAGAGCAGTTGGCAAGCTGCAGGCGTCCCAATCTTTGGGCAGCCCGGAAAAAGAAGTGTGGTCCCAAACACAGGGTGGATGAAGTACATACTAGCCATCTACTGTTTGCAAAGGAACAGGTAGTTTACTTCAGTGCGCCCCATGAAGAATTACATTTCCATTCCCAAGATGTGCTAATATAGCTGCGGGAGACGGCCCAAAGCAGACACGCCCAGAGATGACCTCCTCGAAACTTCGGCTAACCATCCAAGTCTTAATTAGAAACACAGGACGGCTTCGCGTTCTGCCAACTCATACAATTCAGGAAAATCAAAAAGCAGGAAGTATTTATTGGGAGCAATAAAGGAGAGACACAGTAAAACTTTTATTTCACCTCATTCCTACATTTGATCTCAAACTTGGGTTTAATTGTTGTCCCAGTATCCTTAGCTCTGACTCCAAATTATCCAGTTGACTCCAAAAACAATGAGCACCAACTTAATCACATTTCTTTTCTCTGTAAGAGCTTAGAGTTTATGGAGAGGGAATGGTGTTTCGTTTATTCTCTTCCTCAACGTCTCCCAGCAGCCTTCTCTGCTCCTCTCCGGACCCCACAGCATTTATTATGTATGGATCACACCACTTTTCTGAGGGTATTATTACAGGCTTCCTGACACGGCTGCCCTGCCCACCGGCCCCCAAGCCTGCCGAGGTGAAGGACCTCACTGAGTAGTGGTTCTCAAACTCTGGAATCCTGAGCAGAATCAAGGCACGAGCCAACGGTTTGACCATGAATTCCAAAACTACACGCTCAAGCAGCATAGGAATATATATCACTCATCCCAGGCATCTTTGTGACTGGGACGTTGTTAAAGGCTTTTATTCCTGGAGACAGACTCTACAGCCCACTGGGCTGCGTTTCCTAACACACCTGACCAATGGAGCAAGTTCAAAAGGGCCCCGTGGGTGGCGGTCTTATCTCAATACCTTTCTTTTATTCTGCAAGTTTGCAAATAGCAGAAAAACTCAGATATTTAAATAGTTACCTGAGGCAGAAAAGCAAAATCTTGGAAAAGCCAGTAAGGGTTATTTAACACTGACCAAAATAATGGTTTGGAACATGAAGGAGAAAAAAAATCCGATCAGATACTTGGCACCCTACAGGAAAGAGATAAAGTGATGTGACTGACTTTAATTACTCCTTAATGAGAAATTCAGTCTGTTCACAGACTAATTTGCGCTTCTTTTTTAACTGCTCTGTCTGAGAAATTTAGAGAAGTTCTGAAGACTTATACACAGAAATCGGGATAGAGCCAACGGAGATGAGTCCTACACATGCATTCAATGCCCTACAGCTGCACTCCAAGGCAAGTTCTCCAACAAATTCCTTTTCATTAGTGTAACTGGGAAAATATGTAAAACTCAAGAGCCCCTAAGATTCTTCTGGCATATTTCCCTGAACAATTCCCAATACTCTTCATTTTGTCAGGCAAAGCAAATAAAGTGATGGGTAGGTGCAAATACCATGCAATGTGTAGCTGATGGAATACAGATGATTCTGACGGAGTGAGAAATCCTCAAGTTAGAAGAATGACTTTTAAACCGAATTAATCGATTCTGCATTCGGGTTATTAACAGAAGATTTTCTTTTAATCCCCTTGTTTTATATTTTAATTCTACCGTTGACACACTCACATCACATTTACACATAAATTCAAAAGTACAACAACAAATACGTTACTTAGGTTTCTTGAAAAATTACTTGGGTATCTGCATTCTTCTAAAGCACAGGAAAAGACTCATGTTACAGTATTCATAAAAGCAGGACACAAAATGGTATTTATAGCATGATCTCAGTGTAAAAAGAATGGGTATAGAGAGAAAATATAGAGCGAAATATAAAAATTCTTTAACAGTTCTCAGTAATGAGACTTCATTTTCTCCTTTTTGCTTTCCATGAGGTTAAATTTTTATACTGTAAGCCAGTATTATTTCAGGAAAAAAAAAATCTTACAGGAAAAGTAAATAACTCTCCATTTAATGGGAAGGTCCTTTTTTTATTTAAGATTTTATTTTTAAATAATTTCTACACCCAATGGGGGCTTGAATTCACAACCCCAAGGCCAAGAACTGCATGCTCCACAGACTGAGCCAGCCCGGTGCCGGGAGTGGTTCTTTGTATTTCTAAAGACATAGCAATAAACAACATGGTTTGAGAATCCTCACTTTGCATGACTGACACAACCAAAGGCAAAACTATGGAGGTGATCTGTATTTCAAATGAACTTTTCATTTTAGATTATAAGTAAAATGACTGTCTGGTAGTTTACACTGATCTCAAACACCAGCTATTAAAAGGTGTGATAACAAAAGCAGTTTACACACTTAAAAAGTATATTGTGGGTTGTGTGGATGGGGGAAGACAGTGTGGTGTATATTTTCCAAAAACCTTCAGGCTTTCCTACAGATGCAGGTATGTCTCAAAAATCCTACCCTCACAACTTTTTTTCCCTCCGCCAATGGAGTTAAAAGGAACACAATTTAACTTTTGTTGATTCACAGATCTTTGTTTTGTAAGGAACATATAGCCACGATTTCAGAAAAAGAACTGTTTATCTCTTGGGGTTAAATCTGTATGTTAGAATTCAGGTTTAATTTCACTTCTATCTACAATATGACGACCTGGCTCAATCTGACTCTTCAGCTCTGATGCGCATACAAATTCTGGCAAAGAGACAGCGTGGGGACAAGCAGTGATGTTCTACGTGCATGCATCCACGCACAGCTATAATCCCAGGGATTGGTGCAGGCTGTGGCTGGAGGCAAGGCCGTGAGCAGGTGACTTCAAGAAGGCAATCTAATAATTACATCACCATCAAAGCTCTTGTTTTAGAAGTTCAATTCCGAGCTCCCAGCAAAGGGCGGGGCCATGTGTAGATTTGTGTTTTTATTTCCAGTAATTGACAAGTACCGCAAAAGAGTAAATCACAGCCGCTCCATATGAAACATTACTGCTTGATTCTTCTTTAATAAACTGAGAGCCCATCCTCCTGAGTTTTCCTTAAATCCCCCCTACTTTCAGCGAGGTAAGAAAACTACCAAACCCACCTACCAAGATCACTTAGAGCCTAGAAAAAGGGAAGCACATTTATGGATAAAATATGATATTTGCTTTTGAGGTTCTGAATGCCCAAGAGTGTATTTATTTTGGTAAATAAACTCGTATCAAGCACATTCCAGTATCAAGCAATACTGACACTGACTCCACGTGTGCTCCAAATCCTGGGGCCCAGGAGTCCCCCAAACACCCTTCCCCCCAAGTCAGCTGGCCCCTTTCAAGGATCTGGCCCAGAGGGTGAAGGGGAGGCCAACCTTTCCTCCCAGCAGAGAGCCTCCCTGCAGCCCAGTTACAGAGGCATCAGGGCTGGGATCCTACGTTGGGAGGAGCCTGGGAGTCCAGCAGCAGTGAGCCTGGGAACCTGGGGGAGGTTTAAGCCACAGGTGCTGCAGCCACTGAGTGACTCTGACAGCCCTGGCTGGAGACAAACGGTGACAGAAGGTGACAGAGGGGCTGGAGAGGGAGGAGGGAGAAGGGGAGGGAAAGAAATACAAAGAAATGATTTGACCATTAAAGAGGTGAAATTATGGGTGGCTGTAGCTTAATCTTTATTTGTAATTTTATAATTTTTTTAAGTTTATTTAGAGAGAGAGAGAAAGAGAGGCAGCGTGCGTAGGTGTGCGCCGGGGAGGGTCAGAGAGAGAGAGAAGCAGAGAGAGAATCCCAAGCAGTATCTGCACCATCAGTGCTGAGCCTGACAAGTGGTCCCAACCCACGAACCATTGAGATCACGACCTGAGCCAAAGTCAAAAGAGTCGGACACTGTACCGACTGAGCCATCCAGGAGCCCCTCTTTTTTTTTTTTTTTAATGTTTTATTTATTTCTAGGAGAGAGAGAGACAGCATGAGCAGAGGAGGGTCAGAGAGGGAGTCACAGACTGAAACAGGCTCCAGGCTCTGAGTTGGCAGTCAGCACAGAGCCCGATGCGGGGCCCGAACCCACGAACTGCAAGATCATGACCTAAGTGAAAGTCGGACGCTTAACCGACTAAGCCACCCAGGCGCACCCCCCCAGGAGCCCCTCTTTATTTGTAGTTTTAAAATACTCAATTTAAAACCCCTAGGAATTTTTCTTAAGGAGATCATGGGACAAATGCACAAATACACATGCCCAGGGATGTTCCTTTTAACACTATTCACAGTGGCCAAAAATGGGAAGAAAGCAATTTAAGTGCCGGTCAAATAAATTGTGGAGCATCTCTATGATATTTTCAAATCATTTTTTTGCCTGGATTTACTTGAAGAATAAGAAACATGCTGAAGCGTCAGCCACCAAGCTACCCAAGGCTTCACAGTGTTGGGAAGATGTGTGAATTGGAATCCACCCTCATCCCAGGCATTTTTACTAGCCCTTCCTCCAGTGGAATGTCCTCCCGTCCTGCAAAATGGTAACAGTTCTACACCGTCTTGCATGGCCTGAGCTGGGCACGCAACACGTCCTTGTTGACTCATTGGGCTGTTTACAGAGCAGCACATGTAAGACGATGTCATTTACGAAAGACCCTCTGGGTCAAGGTGGTCTCACATGTTAAGAGGCCCTCTCCTCTGGCCGATAGGATTCAGGACGTGTTCCTTTGTTTATACTTTTCGGTATTTTGGAAAAGTTTAATGAGCCTGTGTGACTTTAATAACCAGAAAAATAAATAAGCTGCTTACATTAATAATAAAATATGTAAAAATTAAGTTCACCAAGAGTGAAGTCCAGTTATAGGAAAGGTCTCTGCCTGTTAATAAACAGGTATTTGTGCCTTAAGTCTTGGCCTATAGATCATGAATAAGTCACTGCAATGAAATTTTAAGACAATGAAGGAATTTATATGGTCTCCTGATGTTCCCTCAGGTCACATTGAAAAAATATTTGAAATCCCTTGTTTTCTATCATTTTCCAGGAAGTGGTTGTATTTCTTTTTTTAAAAAGAGGGAAAATAAACACTCCTTTTCGTACAAACTATGCATTTGTCTTTTATAAAATGACCAACAGAAATGAAAATGGCCATATATTAACTCTGAAATGCAAGAAAACTAACGAACTTCTATAATACAAATACATAAATATTAAGCATATTAACAAGAAAAAAAGAACTTTTGCAGAATTATCTGTACATTCTCCATTAAAATGTTATTTCTGAATAGAACACAAAGACCCCCTACTCAGTTCAAGATATGTTACCTTTAATTCTTATTTTGACTTTTATCACGAACAACTAAATGAAAAACCCAAGGGTGATCAAAACACGGTATGAGGGACAAAAAATGAAATGCTGGCTTAGGAACTCGTTACACTTTCTATTTTGTGGAGCAGGCAGATTTGTTTTGCACCGAAAATGAAAACTTACCTCGTGTCAGATGAAGGAATGCCAAGTGAAATGGACAAAAAATGTCAAGTTTGAGAAAAGGACGGATTTGAGGGGGTGTGATGACAGGTACAAATAGACTAAAGAGTTTTAGAAACATGCTTTCTTGGTGAAACAGATTTTAGTAAGTAGTCTTACCCAGCGACTAAAACGTATTTTCCATCTGCTTGATCCTTTAACCTTTCCAGCAGGGACAAACGGACTTTGGCTTTGCTTTTGCCATAGATTTCAATTTCATCTGCAAGCAATCCTATCTCCTTGGCAAGGACATCCACAGCTTTTGGAGTCTGTGCTCTTGAAATCTCAAGGTCACTGTGGGGGGAAACACATAAGTGGCGAGAAGCACCTCAGCTTAGGTGGTCACTGCTAGAGCAAAAGAGCCATACGCCGTGCGAACGATTCAATCAAAGCGACTGCTTCGTGGTCCTCTCTCCCAAAGAGCGTTACATATAACTGCGAATGATTAACGTGCATGATAAAATGGTACCTTTCTTTAAAGGAGCAACTCTTCAAAATTCACGAGGATCCTAGAATTCAGCCCAGGCACAAAGATAACCCCTCAACTGTGGGGGAGAACTGTAGATGACAATGTGCCCAAAGGCTTCCTGTAGGTACGAATCCGCTGTACAGTACGGGGCTTTCTGCGGATCGTCACTGTCTTCACTGCCCACGAAGAGATGGGTTATTGCATAATGCTCTTCCCGGGCTGGTCGTCTGTGTCTCTTGGCTATTCAAAAATGTGGAAATGCTATTTTGTTTTATCTGTGTCCACACTTTCCCTCTCTTTTTCCTACTGCAAGTCCAAAATCCTATTCCAAAATATGTTATTAATTGCATAACCATCAGGAAAAGGACCTAGTGCTTGAAGCTCGACTTCAGACACAGGAAAGTTTAGGAACTCCGGAGTGTCGCCGGGCAAATAATTTACCCTCTTCTATCAGCAGAGTGCGAACGCCGTGGTTCGCCTCGGCGGAGTGCTATACAATGAGCAGGTGCTGGGCTTCTCAGAGAGGCTTTCGGGGCTCCTGAGCTCAGCTACTTGTGGTAATGGGGGTTCAGCCATCTGTCCGCCAGACTGACCATCTGTCTGAGAGCAAGACGTGGCTGGCCCAAGACAGGCTTGGGAGAGCAGGCCTCAGGGACTCAGGGGGTCACCAGTGTTGACACTCGGAAGACAGCAGTGGCCTCGCTCACCTTGGAGCCCTTGCCCAGATACAGGCTGGGCTCTGTGCTTCGGGACCAGTTCCCCTTCCCCCAGGACCCCGGCACTTCCCTTTCTGGCCGCTCCCACCCCCACCCCCACCCCCGCCCATGCTCCCACTTCATTTTGCCTTCCTGTCTACCCCTTCTTTCTCTTTCTCTCCTCCCCAAATCTCCTAAACTGAAGAGCCCGCTCTTGGAAAACTTCCAGTTTTCTCGTTACTAGCTTAAAAATGACAGCGACATTGTTTTGATTTGGGGGTAATTTATAAATTACTCAGCCTGTCTTTCTTTCCCCTTTAGAAACCAAATTCGGTTCAGCTATTAAAACTTCCCCTGAGTAGGATTTATTTAGATTTAGGCAATGACTTTGGTACAGATTTTGGCAGAGTCTACCTGAAATTTTTTTTTAGCTCTCAGTGAGTAGAATGTACTCACTCACTTTTACAAATTAAGGTCCTTTAATAACATCAGTAACTTTGAAAATATAATATCTTACGAAATAGACTGCACAACTACAGGGGTGATATTACAGAGAATAACATTCCCTGCGATTTGTGTATTAACACACACAGAAAGTGACTACATTGTTCAGTCTGTTTCAGGGGTGAAAACATCGCACGGTGGGTATAAAGGAAACATCAGTGTTCAGTTGTGGTGCAAGGAAACAGATCAAATCTAAAACCCAAGTGGTCATCAAATGAAAAATGAGTCGATTCCTGGAGGTTTTATCTACTGACGTGTTATTTTCCAGTGGCACTGGGTGAACCTTGGATCAAGAGGGTGGGGCCTTTTCATGAAGTGGGGACAGGTGGGGGCCCCCGATGAGGCTGGGAAGTGCATTTCTCTGGCTCTAAGAGCTAATGAATTATTCCTGCAGTACAGTATGTATTTCTAAACTCCTGCAGAGAATATATAGCTTACACTTCACTAAATGCTACTCTGAAGAAAACATCCATCTAGACCATCACAGAAAACCCTATCAGATGGTAGGTGGCTCTGTGCGCTGAGGAAGGCTGAACTCACTTCCCACATAGGATAGTGTCCGGTTTGGTTGGTCTTTTACCCTCAGAGCAGACACCTACATGGCCCTGAAGACCAAGCCGACAGATGAGCTGGGCATTTCTAACACTGAAAAGCATATTCCAAACGCTGTATTACCATATTTGGTCAAATCTAAGGCGTCAACATGTTACAGAGCGCTGAGAAGAGAAAAGAATGCCAGTTAAGACAGGAGGCATCATCGACAGTAAGGGGCAATCCTGACTTCAGACATGAAGAAATGTACATCCTAGGGCTGGCAGAATATGGGAAATGTGTTCATTATTATTTAATTTTTAGGACTTAAACAATCAAAAAACTGTGATTAAATTATTCACTATCAAAGCCATAACACCAAAGACCCCCGGCCTGTTGGAGAACTTTGGATATATCAGAGGCACTTTGGTGAGCAGAGGTCAGGACAAGGAAACCCTGCAAATACCTGGGGACTGGGGAGAGAGGCTGGAGTTTCAGGCAGTGAAGTCTCCACCTTGCGTGCTGTTGTTCGCGTAGCCACCTCCTTCCGCTGCTGACCATGTTCTTTGTGAGACAGAAGGGAAAGCACGTCATAGAAGTAAAGGCTGGCAGGCTATGACTCTACACTATGAAAATGTCGTTCAGGGATGTCATGTCATGAAAAGGATCACAAAGTTGCACAATAACCCATGTGAATATCAGGGATAAGTTTATTCACATGTAGAGTTGGGCCTTTTTTTAAAAAAAAAAAAAAAAAAAAAAAAAAGAAAAGCTATATGTATTTTTAAAACAGGTTAAGGGGCACCCTGGTGGCTCAGTCAGTTAAGCATCCGTCTTCAGCTCAGATTATAATCTCACACTTCGTGACTTCGAGCCCTGCACCGGGCTCTGTGCTGACCACTCAGAGCCTGGGGCTTCGGATTGTCTCCCTCTCTCTCTGAACCTCCCCTGCTCATGCTGTCTCTCTCTCAGAAATAAATAAAACATTTAAAAATTTTAAAAAAAAAGAAAATAGGTTAAGTATTCACTAAAGACATCAAGTACTAGAATAAAATGAGAGAGTGGGTTCTTCACCGCAGTTGGAAAAGAAAAATCAGGGAACTAGGAGAACTCATGGATGATGAATGTGGATGCCCAGTCTCTAAAATCTGCAACACCATGTCAAGTCCAATCCCGTCAGACTTGATATAATCGAACAAGAACACTGAATTGTTAAATGGTGATACACACACAGAGAGAAACAAAATCTGGCTTAGGTCAAAACCCAACACATAATCCTTATAAGAAAGTATTATGTCCCATTTGAAAGCAAAAAAGTTTTATTTTGGAGGATGCATCGGTGGCTCAGTTGGTTAAACGTCCAACTTCAGCTCAGGTCATGGTCTCAGGGTTTGTGGGTTTGAGCCCTTCACTGACAGTGCAAAGCCTGCTTGGGGTTCTCTCTCTCTCTCTCTCTCTCTCTCTTTCTCTCTCTCAAAATAAACTTTAAAAAGCTTTTTTTTCTTTTTTAAAGGGAGGCCAATTTATTTATTTTTAGTTTATTTATTTTTAGTGAGTTCAAGCCCAACTTCGGGTTTGAACTCAGGACCTTGAGATCACAAGTCACACGTTCTACCGGCTGAACTAGCTAGGAGCCTTCTAGAAGAGGAGGAGCCTCTAGAAAGAAGAAAGAAAAAGGGAAGCAGTGGTGCTTGACTCTGATGGTGAGGTCATAACATCTCCTGCGTCTTCCTCCCTGCCTTCTCCCATGGCTCACCCGGTCTGGTGGATGTTAGCTGCCACATCGTGGTCAGCTCCCCTGAGAAGTCGGCCTGGTGAGGGACTGAGGCATCTTGCCAACAGCCATTGTGGAATGAGGCACCACATGCCAACAGCCATGTGAGTGAGCGTCTTGGAAACAGAGCCTCCGGCCCCAGTCAAGCCTTCAGACGATCTCTTGAGTTCCACTGCATGAGCGACCCCGAGCCAGAACCGTGGAACTGAGCTGCTCCCACATCTGACCCACAAGCAATGGAAGACAACGTTTACTGTTTTAAGTTGCTACATTTGGGGATAACCTACTCCACGGCAATAGACAACTAACAACAGACCCTGAGTCCAGTCTCCGTCCCATACTTGTCATGTAACCAAAGGCAAGTTTTTCCAAGCTTCCATTTCCTTACCTGTCAAATGGGAATGACATTCTCTCACAGGATTATGGTAGGACCTAAGCGTCACTCTGTGTGTTAAGGTGTTTAACATTGTGTCTACTCAACAGAAAACACTAGCAAAATGTTAACAACTATTAATCAAAGCTCCAAACAGTCGCTATGTGAAACAAACCTGGATCCGCAGAGCCGCAGCAAGGAGACTCACATCATCCTCTGCGATGACACCATTAAAATGTACCCCAAGAGAACCACATCCAAGCTTTCCTATAAACAAGTTGGAGGGGGGGAGGAAAAAAGACATTCAGGATATTGTTGTTTACAACCAACTGCTCCTAGTAAAAAGTCAGCATCCTGAGTGCCATTCTCATTTTCAGTCAAGGAACTTAGGACATCTTGGCACAGCTCCAGGTAGGTCACCAGTCCCCGGCACGGCCTTGGGGCTCCTGACTGGGCCACAGGCACACCGAATTACAGTGGACGAAAATCTTGCTTCTACCTCTAACCGGCAACTGTGACACTGGGCCCGTTATCTAATGTGGGTGCCTGCAACCCCGCAGAACTCTGAGGAATTGAGTGCGACAGGGAATGTCGTGGTGTTGAGCATCTGAGAATAGCAATGTCACTGAGGTACACAGGGTATCCAAAGGGGGAGTGAAATAAATAGCGCAATCGCAACCACAGTGCTATGTGAAAGGTCAGGCAGGCTTCCTTTGAGAATTTTAGGGATCCCTGTATTAAAAGTGAAATGACCAACTTTGCATAGAAACTGAGAAATTACATTTTTGGATACTAATTTTAGGGATTACCAGGTTTCCAGAACAGAGGGGTATTTGTACTAATGGTGTTTTTCCTTCTTTAGCTGGTACTTATAAAGGTTATGAGAATGAGCACACATGGAAAATGCTTTAGTCTATATCCTCCCTTGGAGAAAAGAAACATTTCTAATAGCAACTTTTTTGAATTAAGAAACTATTTTCCTCTAGTTTGGACCACTCTGCGTTTAAATTATCCATTTTGCTGACAGTCCTTTGCAAGAAAGAGCACAAAACACTTCAGACGAAGCGTTTTGTGATGTTCTACAGTCAAATGTATGTAGGGCGTTGGAAAATCATATCCCTCCGGTATTGTTTCGAGATTAGTAACACTTCACAGTTTTATAAATCGTATTTAGGCAAAAGCCAAGAGTCTAGAGAATGAGGTTTGTTGTTTTGTTTGAACCACTAGAGATCTGATCTAAAGATCCTGTCCAACCATCATGGAAAAGAAATATGCTTCCCGCATTTTTATCTCTATCTTTACATGACGAGGAAGGAAAAAAAACCCCAAAAGCCTACACTCCAGGAGCTGGTATCAATTTATTAATGCCTATTTCCAGGACAGAATCACAAGTACCCTGGTAAGTGAAGAATATTTCACCTGTAATGTTACACAGGGAATAATTCCGCCCATAATCTCAGCCGCTGCACTGCATAAAATAGAAGGTGGCTAAAAGCAACAAAGATTTTAAAACGCAACACAAGACGTGCCTACACATACATTTTAAACCTTGGAAAGGATCTTACAGGAACTGAAATTTCTGTCTGAAGAAAGTTACCTGAATTTCAATAATGCTTTTAGTCTCATAGTTTTCTTTTCCTTCTACTAAATTCCATCCTGTAAAATTATGTTTCATGTTTTCTTTGTGGGAACGTGTGAAATGGGGACCCCAAGGCGACTGATCATAAGTTACTGTCACTTTGCTCTGTGTGCTCTTCTATATTTCACGAACTGTCTACTGTGAACACTCTATTGCTTCTGTAGTACAAATCAGTAGTAATCTTAAAACTTAGAAGTTATGAATCCAGAGAACTCGAAGCTATGAAAATGGTAACTCGGCGAATCAGAAATACGTTCTTCACATTTTGTGGTGAAGGAGAATTGAGAAAAGAAATCATTACCTCATCCCTCTGCCTGTGTAGACTCAGGGCTCCACCCAGAGGCTGTCTACATCCCGCCTGCCAAGGCTGTCTGCACTCAGCCCACGAGTCCGGCGGGGGCCCCAGGGGACCCGTCCCAAACCAAGTGGGTCTTTTCACTTCCCACTAAAGACTCCCCATTAGCTCGTGGCTTTTCCGAGGACAGGTCAATGAATCTCTTTAAAAGATGGCCTTTCATTTAGAATTTTTTCTTGCTAACCAAACTTTCTACAACACAAATATTTAAAGCTAACGTGTCGTAACGCTTTCCCTGGAATTCCGAGCAGAACTTTCCGTGACAGGAGCTGCCCTGAGACCACCCTGGGAACTTGGCCAGAATAAATGGGCAGGACAAGGCAAATTCTTCTTTGGTCTCCGTGCCCTCTCTGCTACCTGAAAAAATTTCAGCTTTTCTACAGCCTGGCCCAGGGCATCCTTCCTAGCACAGAAGTGCTGTATGAACCCATAGATTGAATTCTCAGATATTTTCTCATACTCTGGGAGAACTAGTAACTCAAAAAAACTTTTATGTGAAGTTCTGAAAATAGGAAAAGCTAAAGAAAACTACATATTAGTGCAGATAACACTTTCAAAACCACTGGCGATTAGTTCTAAGTTAAATATATCAATCATATTGGGTAACAGGAAAATGCAATAAATGAACTTTTAATATAATTTTGGTAACAATGCTCTCAAGAGTTGAACTCATAGCTTAAAACATCTATGTCAGTTAAGTGTCCAAATCTCGATTTCAGTTCAAATCATGATCTCACAGTGAGACTGTGTCCTGTGTCAAGCTCTTTGCTCAACACTGAGCCTGCTTAAGATTCTCTCTCTTCTTTTCCCTCTGTCCCTTCCTGTTCTCATGTGCACACACTTTCTCTCTTTAAAAAAAAAACAAAAAAACCTCAAGAGACAAAACACATTGAATTCACTATCAAATAACTATGTTTTACTACTTTAATAGAATATAATATAAAAATCTTTAAAAAAAAAACAACCGAGTATTAGTAATATATTAGTATCAACTTATATAAACAGCCCTTTTGAAATTACTGAAACCAAAGCAGGAAGGAACTAACACGGAGTTGTACATTCTAAACAGCTTGAGACTTTTTCAAAAGAACATTCAGTGTATCATAACATACCGATAATCAGTTAAAATTTGAAATGAAAACCTGGCAAAAACATATAGGCCCAAATCTTCCAGAATTTCCCTGGGAAAAAACTTAAGGGAAACAGGTAATAGATATAATGGATTTCAGAATAACTGGAGTTCAAAATTCATAAGGAAGTATCCTTATTTTGTTCCAAGTGCAACTGAGATAATGATTAAATTACAGGCAGGTTGAATTTCTCTAAAGCTACTGTCTTACATCCTCCGAATCTCATAGGGAAGAATCCTTCCTTGGGCCTGAGTTTTCAAATACAGACTTACATTTCGCTAATAAGAAGTCTGAGCTGTTTTGTGTGCCAGAGGTTCGAGAACAATGAAGTGGTGGTGGGGGGGGGGGGCTGCTTTATTGGCAGCTCCCATCAAAGAGGTGCCGTGAGGTGCAAGCTCATGTATTCCTCTCAACAGTCTTGCTCTCATCTTACAAAGAAACTGAAGATCAGAGAGCTTAAGTTATTTGTCCAAAGTCACACAGCTTGTAAATATAATGCAATTGAGAAACAATCCAAACACAAAAAACCCTTCTTCTCTTTGAGTGAGATCAATTTGACTCCAAATTCCATGCTTTTCTCATTATGTTCATTATGCTGTCTCCCTTCAGGGCCATATGAGAGATGGCTCGAGGTCCTCCAAGATCCCACAGGCCATTAACATGAACTTGAGATGCAGCCCGGGGTTCCACTACCAGTCCACACCAAATACACTTAAAATGATGCTGTTAAGGGCGCCTCCATCTATTTTTATGGGGGGTGGGGGGCCCTGTACCACTGAGTATGAAAATTTCACCATAAAACCCTGCCTTCACCCAATCGCAGGTTTATTAAGAGTTCTGCTCTTAAGTGTGAATAAAAGCACCTTTCCTTTTAATAATGTTTTCAAAAGTCTCTTTAGGGTGGCACGGTTATGCAAAAAAGGGAGAAGAGCCTTTCTTCAATCTGTGCATAGATTAAATTTCCATACTAATCAAAGCTGCTGAAATTAAAACGGACTATCAGGAAATAGAACGTTATATATAATAGTACTGACTGCAAAATGTTCATCTATTTAATCAGGAGAACATTTTTCCCCTTTGTCTTCACTGTCAGCCCTGTGTCTGATCAGGAGACTAGTTCAAGGAGATGCCTCTGTAACTGCAACTAACTTAAAAGTGCAACCAATCAGAGTACAATTCTCTAGTCCAGGTTTATTCATTCATTCATCACCCAGTATTTATTGAGCACGTATTAGGTGGGACACTGGGCATGCAAAAATCACAAAGAAAACTACTAGTACGGGACCAGATACATTTAAAATAAACCACAGTCAGTCTGCATACAGAATCAGTCAAAATATAATTAATGCCTTGATCTCCCCAACCGCACCCCCAGGAGGATGGTTATGTTAAATCTAATGTTTTTAAGAATGCCTTTAAAAAAGTAAAGGTCCCCAAAAGAAACTTAGTAAAAATATGGCAAAATTTCACTAAAAAAATATACTGTCATCTTTATATAATCACAGAACTCAAAGGAATTCCAAAGAACACTGAATAGACTATCTCTAGCCAAGATTATACCAAAATTGTCCTAAAAATATAAACTCTAATAACAAACAAATAGCAAGTAATTATAACAGCAAAGAGCGTTCACTTAAAAGAACATAAAGTCAGGGGTGCCTGGGTGGCTGTTGGTTGAGCGTCTGACTTTGGTGCAGGTCACGATCTCCCAGTGCGGGGGATCGAGCCCCGCATCGGGCTCTGTGCTGACAGTATAGAACCTGCTTGGGATTCTCTCTTTCCCTGTCTCTCTGCCCCTTCCCTACTCATGCTTTCTCTCTCTCAAAATAAATAGATTTAAAAAAATAAATAATAAAAGAACATAAAGCCAAAACTGACTTTCCTAATCTAAATTCTGAGCAGAGGAGCAAATCTGCCATGACCATCATTTATGGGTTAGGCATTGGTTTTCTCAGTCGGGGAAAGAAATTTATAGCCTGAAACTACATACATTTCAAAGGAGTTATTTAGTGTAAGTCTTCTGTTTGCTAAAAAGATCGATTAATCCTACATTCACATTACATTATACCTCTGGTTGCTTCATTCATCTATGTGATGAATGAAGCTCCAAGCACAAGGACATTCTGGGAAATTCCTGAGCATTGTCCCTTGCACACTCTAACCCACCCCAACCCCCTTCAGCCCCTTCAGCTTTTAATCTGATTGGTTAATTCTTGGGGGGGGAGGGTGACTTCCTACAGGGGTGGGTCCATTGTTTTTCTTTTTGAAGAAACAGTTATCTGAATTTCAGTAATGCTTTTAGTATCACATTGTTTTCCTTCTATTACATTCCAATCAAATTAAGGTTAGTGTGTTTTTTGTGGAAATATGTAAAATGGTATCCCAAGGTGGCTGGACCAGAAGTTTTATATATATATACGTATATATATATACACACATACATGTATCATTTGATACTATTCTCTACGTCGCTCTCTTGTGGGGTGGTCTAAGTTTCAAGGTCTAGACTCCAGTATGGTCCTGGCAGAAACAGGGTAGAGGCCTCCACCCACTCTGGCTCAACTTCAGACCAGCTTTGGGGGGAAAACGCTGTGCTCCAGGCCTGCTCACCATATTCCTCTCCAGTGCCGAAATCTGCACACCTGTTCCTCGGGGACTTGAAAAGCTGGGCTAGGTGTGGTGCAGAACTTTCTTAGCCTCTGAGTGTTCTTCTGAGAATGAGAAAAGGGTATCCCTCTGGGTTTGTTCCCACCAGCCCTTAGGCTGGATGTCCTGGTGTGGGCACGGCTTGAGTTCCAGAAAGTGGGGCTGGTGTGGTCCAGGGCATTCCTGGGTACCGTGGTGAAATACCATCCTCAGACCACCTCCGCTTTTTTAACTTTTTTATTTTTGAGAGAAAGAGATAGAATCCAAAGGAGGCTCTAGGCCCCAACCTATTAGCACAGAGCCTGATGTGGGGCTCAAACCCACGGCCCGAGAGATCATGACCCGAGCCGAAGTCAGACGCTTAACCTCCCAAGCACCCCAGACCACCTGCTCCTGACAGTGACTTTCACACTGCTCTGAGGTGCCTCTGGGGCTCCCAGGAAGTGCCTGAGGGGTCACTGCAAGCAAGGGGAAATAGGGAGACACAGGGACTGGTCTCCTTTCCCATCTCTCCCAGCAACTGTTTTCATCTGCTTTTACCTGCTGAAGTTCATGTGAGATTTCTTTGGGAGAATGGATTCTACTTCATTATAAAAGACTGAAAACCACTATTTCTAGTTTACCTCACACACGGACACACGATCTACTTCAGGTCACCACTGACTGTACTGCCCAATGCGAGAGGCCAGCAGGGCCATGTCTCTCTGGGGGCGGGGGCAGCTCCTGCCCTTGGCATCTCGGCTTCCCTTTGCCCGACAACACGGTTTCAATATCACGTAACCCAAAAGGTAGGCACATGGACAGTCCAAGTTTCCTCTCCTGTGTACGGGCATTGACAGTGACCAACCTCTCAGGGAACGTTCTCTCCTCTGAATAAGGTTAAACATTTCCCTAACGCCTCCCTGGTTTCATCCGCAGCCCAACACCAAGGTTAAGACATTGACCCACCTGACAGGAAGTCATGGGAGCAGTTGAGAACTGTAGTTCCTGGTTGGATCCAAGAAAGGGGAATGTCTTCCGGCTTGGGCGAGCCTACAATCGCAATATCAGCCTCGTGAAGCTGGAAAGAAATGGAAAAAACAGCGCTCGTGTGAATCGGTGGCAGGGACACAGGACTGGAGATTGTGTCTACGGACCTCGGTGCCACCGGTCACTAACGCGCATCCAGAGGTCGGCGCCGCGCCAGTATCAGGGACAGACCCGCTTCACGAATGTACGAATGCAGCACAAATCAGCACAGGGTGGGACTACCACATCCTAGAGAGAAAAGGGGGTCGAGGTTCTTCAGGGCCGTCAGTTCGGCGTGAACGCCGTGCGCAGTGTCACTGTCCATGCTTCCTCACTAACTGCTGCACCGGGAGAAAGGATGGGGCGGAGAAAATCACCCTGATGCAAGTGGAGACTGAGAGGTGCGGGTGGGGGTGGGGGGGGCGATATTCTGACTCCTGCGGCGGTTCGGGGGGAGGTCAGGGGGGCTGCTGTGGGGAAGCCTCTTGAAGATCTGGCCAGTTCGGGGGGCCTGCGGGCCTGTGCAACTGCACAGTCAAAATTAGACCCATATGGAACCTTTACTGGATCTATGGGAGGATTTTCAAGAGCTCAAGAAAGAATCTCATTTTCCTTGAGGCTCTGCTTAGTCTCCTGTCAAACTGCTTTTTTTTTTTCTTGAGAGAGAAAGGAACAGGATTCAACTATTACTACAAAACACATTCATCATATCCGTCCTGATTCTGATGACACAGGGCTGGAGGGATGTGTCTGGTAGGAAGGTGACATCGAGAAGCAGGGGAAGCGATCGGCTCTGACCTCAACCAAAGAATGACCACCCGTCCCCAGTTATGCAACCGACGATGGCAAACTGGATTCATTAGGAGGGCACCAGGAGGAGGGGGGGGGGTCTGAGACCCTGTGGGGGAAAAGAGCTGTGGCTGCACGTGACAGCTATGTGGGTTGGTGTTACTGCACCCATTAAAGAGACAAGGAAACTGAGGCTCCGAGAGTGTGAGCACCTCCCTGTTTCCCCCCAGAGGAGCCAGTCTCGGACACTCAATGGGGGAGACAGAGGACGCTGCAGCCCTCTGCTCTCCCACACTGCTTTCCTCCCTTCCTTGCTTTCTCCACAGACTTCCATACCCTGCAAATGACAGACAGAGGAGAGGGAGGTGAAACAGAAACCGCCCCGCTGCCAGGCCCACCACCCAAAGTCCCCGGAAATGGATGTGTTCCATGCACCCTCATCCCTTCCCAGCGTGGACAGGCTGATTGCAGAAGGGCTCGGGGACGCACCCGGCCAGCAGCTCAGCCTCAAAGTCTGGGACACAGTTTGGGCAAGAGGCTGTACCGGCTCATGTCTCTTACAAATCTCGGGACGAGAGATGGCAGCGAGGGGAGGAAAATCCATGACAGTCCTCCCTGGTTTGTGAAGAAAAAAGCCAGGATCTAGAATGGTGCCAAGCTCCCTTGATCGAGGAGGAACAAGGTAACAACTTAAATGGCATGTCTTTTCAAAGAGCCGATAAAGACAACTTGTAAAATTAACATCCCAAGGGGGCGCCTGGGTGGTTCAGTCAGTTAAGCGGCCTACTTCAGCTCAGGTCATGATCTCGCGGTTCGTGGGTTCGAGCCCCGTGTCGGGCTCTGTGCTGACAGCCACCTCGGAGCCTGGAGCCTGTTTCAGATTCTGTGTCTCCCTCTCTCTCCGACCCTCCCCTTCTCATGCTCTCTCTCTCAGAAATAAATAAAAACATAAGAAAAAAAAAAAGAAGGTAACTAAAAAAAAAAAAAAAATTAACATCCCAGGAACATTGGATAGATCTGATCACGCCAACCGGGAAAAGGGAATTAACAGTCACTGAGTACTACTAACGAGTCACACAGTGCCCACTGCTTTTCAGTGCCGTACTTCCTTAAGGCCCAGGAGGAAGAATGCATTGAAATCGTGTCGAGTAAAATGATTAAATTAATCCCATTAATAAGAAGAGAAGTCCCTACTAAAACAAGTATCCTTTCCTTACCGGGCGGGGCCACAACACTGAAACGGAATCAACTCTATCTAGTGTGTTAATGTCACGTGTCCTCCGTAGATAGATAGCAGCTAGGTTCTTGGGTGATGTTATTAGGGGCAAAAAGTGTTCTTATGAAAAGAGGATTTTACATGCTTGAATAAAAAAATTTCTTCACGTCCTTATACCACGGCAGATATTCAACCACAGTAAGCCTCAAGAGAAACTCAAATGTTTAATGTGTGTTGGAAATGATCAGCAGATAAGAAACGCCATTTTACTGCATTTTCATGCACACTAGCAGCAAAAACAGAACATGTTAAAACTTCTATGAAAAGGAAGTTAATATACGCGAGGCTGAAACGTTCGTTTTGGAAAAAGCCGAGGATCACAGGTTCACAGAGTCCCCTAAGGACACTTAGTTTCCTACATGTGGTGTCTTTGATACAACCTGTTCTTTTCATTACCTATAAATCTCAGGAATCACATGCCGACCCCTTCACTCCGTATTTAAACCCAACTCCAAAGTGCGCTGTGCTAATAAGCAACTGGACGTAGTTACTACCACAGAGAAAAGACAAAAAATCTCTGCCATTAGTAATGATCGCACTGGAGATGTTAATTCTTTCTGGAAAGGAAAACTGCTAGATGCTTACATCAATAAATAACCCACTGGGGACCCGAGATGATTTTAATGAGCTAAGGAATTCAAGGAGAATTATCGTCTCGCTGGCTGTTTCAACTTTCCTCCTCCCAAATGGGAAAGACCCTGGCCAGAGCCTGGCTTGCAACTCTACCGCCTAACAAAACATTGCTTTCTCTGCTGAGGCTTGCAGGAGAAGCTGCTTACATAGCACTGCCCATCCCCAGGCGGAAGACCTGAAAGATAATAAGACATGGATATGCTGACGTTTAACGGGGAGCATGAGGGAGCAATATAGAGTAGAGATATCATGAAAACTGTTTCTCTGCGGCAAGGGTCAGAAAATGGAGAGAGGGGAGATGGAGGACAGATGGGATTTGCAAGGTTATAAGGGACATCGTGATTTTGTATTTAGCAAAAAAAAAAAAAGAAGAAAGAAAGAAAGAAAGAAAAGAAAAAAGAAAAATGCATTTTAAAATTCAAGCTCTAGAAAGTACAGCCCCACCCTGTTGGCTAGAAGACAGAATTTATCTCCCACTAACTATAGATGTGTCCTGAAGGGTACGTGTGGGAATCCCAGGTACGAGATGTGTGTATACACACACACACACACACACACACACACGGAAAGCTGGAATGGTTTAAAAAAAAACAAAGGTAGAAAGATAGGTTTTGATGAATCATGATTATATTACCTGAGACCCATAAAACAAGTTTCTGTTCTTCAAAAGTTATCAACACGGGTCAGAAAACCAAGTTCAGAAAAAACAAAAATAAAAATAAATCAACAAGTCATTTCTCCAGCAAGGATGTGCTTCTAAAGTTACAACTGCTTCAGAGAATGAAGGAGGTCCGGGGTTCCTTCGGGAACAGACTCACTCAGGGGCCAGCTCTCGTGCTGCGCAGGACAGGCACAGACTGAGGTCACTAACTATCTGAAAATAAAAACCCCGGCCTACAAGATTTTACAACTAGGATCTACAAGATGGAAGGGAACAAGGCAAACCCCTGGGATACAGAAAAGAAACGAGGAAACATTTCGTTTCTGCTTCAGTTGCCCCCATGGGCATTCTCGACCATCTGCACCCGAGCTGGGCGCCGTCGCACACACTACGGGGAAGGGTCTTGAGGGAAGGCTGGCTTGAACTTGTTCTTCCACCTTCCACGAACTGGGACACACTGGTTTGTGTGAGCCTGGTCACAAGGCTTTAAAGATCCAGCATCCCACAGCCATTCTTCCCGGTGCTTTGCAATGAGAAGTGTCTGTGAAACTTCATGTGCCACAGAGACTCCTTGACCACCTCACGGCAAAGTCCTAAAAAGACTTAGTTGGTTCTTTTTTTTAAGAGAGAGAGAGAACGAGTGGGGGAAAGGGCAGAGGGAGAGGGAGAGAGAATCCCAAGCAGCCGAGCAAGCTCGACAGTGTGGGAGCCCGACGCAGGGCTCGATCTCACAACCCTGTGGTCATGACCTGAGCTGAAATCAAAAGTCAGATGCTCAACTGACTGAGCCACCCAGGCACCTGAAGTTTTTTTTTTTTTAATTTTTAAAATGTCTGTTTATTTTTGAGAGAGAGACAGAACACAAGGAGGGGAGGGGGGCGGAGACAGAATCTGAAGCAGGCTCCAGGCTCTGACAACCCAGCAAAAAGGTAGTTCAACAAGAGAAAATGCATATTAACAAAGGCTCTGGTACATGATTGCTAGACACGTCCTTCAAGAAATACAAGGAGACCTCCTGGTAGAAATGACAGACCCTAGACATTAACTCCAAGCCCTATGAAGAAACAAAGATCTCCAGAAAAACCAGTACTGCCATATTTCTGGTTTGTAACGATTATGTTTTATTTCCCGCAGGACTTAAAAGGCATATGCATTAAAAATTAAGATATCCAGAGGCGCCTGGGTGGCTCAGTCGGTTGAGCGTCTGACTTCGGCTCAGGTCATGATCTTGCAGTTTGTGGGTTCGAGCCCCGCATAGGGCTCTGTGCGGACTGCCAGCTCAGAGTCTAGAGGCTGCTTCGGATTCTGTTATCTCCCTCTCTCTCTGACCCTCCCCTGCTCACACTGCCTCTCTCTCAGAAATAAATACAACATTAAAAAAATATTTTTTTTAAATTAAGATATCCAATCACATAACTCGCTAATCTCATCTAGTTTAAAAGCTAGGGTTTTTCCCAATCTTTGGAAAAAAGGATTTTTTTGGGGGGGGTCAAGATTTTAGATGTACAATACAAATATATTTGGAATTTTCCAATCCACTTTTAAAAGTCTTTTATAAGCCATGCCATGCAGTGAACGTAAACTGGAAACGACTTTGTGATCATTTAGCTCTGCTCAAAAAAATGACACACTTTGATCCTTCAAATGGGAAAACCTTATATTTTCCCCTTCTTGTGTTAGTACTAGTTTTGAG